AAGATGCGCCTACTCCCTTTCTGGCGTCAGAAGTTTGACTCTAGACTCGTACCCTTAGACCCGCAGTGGTTCGGGGCGGTGCGGAATCCCATCGGGCGAGGCGGAGCTCGCGCTCTTGGGATTGGGCAAGGCGGAGCCCGTGCCCTCGGCGTCGGGCGAGGCGGAGCCCTCACCCCGAGGGGTCGAGCGAGATGGAGCCCGCGCTCTCGGGATCGGGCGAGGCGGATCCCGCGCCCTCGGGGTCGGACGTGATGAGGCTCTCGCCCGAGGGGTTAGGCGAGACAGAGCCCGCGCCCTCGAGGTCGGGTGACCCGGATCCCGCGCCCTCGAGGTCGGACGAGACGGAGCCCGTACCCTCGGGGCCGGGCGAGACCAAGATACACTCTTGACCTATCCGAGGGAGTTAGCGTTCACGACCATCGCTTCTTTCTTCCGGGTATCCCTAATCCTGATACCCGACATGTTTCATTTGGTATACCAAAAGTAAATTAAACGTTGTTGTAGAATTGAGGATTGGGAGAACTATGGAAAAGACATGAATATATAGATTGGCTGAACTATGGAAAAGACATGAAGATATATGTTGTTGTTGTTAATGTGTCTAGAGCTTCAAAGTGGAATCAGAGGGATAATGAATGATCCACGTTTTTTCAATTTAGTTTGAGATAAAGTTTTGAACTTGAAATCGATCTAACCGTCAGTTTTATCCTCTCACTTCATCATTTTCCATCTCATTCCCTCCCTCCCTCTCTCTTTCCCTCACCTTCTTCATTTCCTTCTCCCCATTCTCCACACACTTTGGATCACAAATTCCATGGCGTCGACGTCCTTTGCCCTTTCGCCATCGTTCTACTTCTACTCACAAACGGTGTAAAATTTTAGGGTGTCACGTCGGGTGTCACATGGAGATGTCGCATGGGGTGTTTGGATACTAATAAAAAACAAATTACAGAATCCGCCAAGACGAATTTATTAAGCTTAATTAATCCATCATTAGCACATGTGTTATTGTAGCACCACATTATCAAATCATGAACTAATTAAGTTTAAAAGATTCGTCTCATAAATTAATCATAAACTATGCAATTAATTAGTTTTTTAATCTATATTTAATAATGTGAAAATGTGTCAAACCTCGGTAACTAAACAAGGCCTCGCACGGTGACTCCCGCTGGTTTGGTTCACGTGTGCTTGCGTTGTGCCATAAAGCATTGATGGCATCATTGAAGGCACGGATCGGCATCGGCCCCCCCGCCCGGGCGCCCCGCCGAGCACGGAAAGCAATGAGTGACTGCCACTGCCAGACCCAGTTGGCGTTGGCAGGGGCCAGGGCAGCTTCCGTCCCCCCGTCGCAGAGTCCAGTCGCAGGCTGGCAAACAATGGCCAATGGGAGGCCAGGAAGCAAAGCGTACGCCCACAGATGGCGGACATGTGCTCTCCTCGGCCAGCAAGGCAAGGATTGCTTTTCCTTGCCCGGTTGCCCCTGGTCCCTGCAGCTGAAAGCCAGGACAGGAAGGAAGCTTTCCATTTCCAAGGCGAGAATCCTGCGCTTGGACTTGGAGTCGATGATCACCAATCCCGTATAGGGGAGGAGTATGTACAAACAATTCTAACTCTTCCAAACAGCTTTTCAAAAATAAAGAACCACTCCCTCCATCCCGAAAGCTTGTCGTTTTAAAATTTTTAATTAAAGCAGGCATGATTGATATATCTTAAATTTGTTTGAAGATGTCAACGAATTTCCCTATATTTTCACAGCATGGCTTGGCATCTCTGAGCTTGCATTCGTCTAAAATAACATAAAAGACGGATGCGTGACTTGTGATGATGGTTTATTGTGAATTATGATGATGATTTATTATGCATGTGACATATAATTATGGCTGTGATGATGTTTTATTGTGAATTGAGAGGGGTCCGTTATACGTGACAGATTAGTAAAAAAGGGGGGTCTTGGTCGTTTTGCCATAAAATCCCGAGTGTATTCTAATGGACACTCGGCAAAGTGGCCATAAAATCTGGTCGTTGCGCGCTTGTTTGCCGAGTGTTTTGAGCATGACACTCGGCAAAGTGTCTAAACTTTGCCGGGTGTTATGGCCCTGACACCCGGCAAAGTTTAGAAACTTTGCCGAGTGTTTTGGGCTGGACACTCGGCAAAGTTTTTGGTCTTGACACTCGGTAAAGTTTAGAAACTTTGACGAGTGTTTTGGGCTTGACACTCGGCAAAGTTGAGAAACGTTGCCGAGTGTTTTAGTCCTGACACTCGGCAAACTTGAGAAACTTTGCCGAGTGTTTTCCCGTCGTGCACTCGGCAAAATCGCCGTCACCGTGCCATCCCGTTAATATTTTTTTGCCGAGAGTTTATTTTTGCCAAGTGTTTATTGGCACTCGGCAAACTAGTTGCCGAGTGCGCGATAAAAAACACTCGGCAAACTACTGTTTGCCGACAAATTAATGCCGTGTGTTGTATGCCGAGTGCTACACTCGGCAAAGCATTTGTCGGAGTGTTTTTAGGTCTTTGCCGAGTGCTCCTGGCACTCGGCAAAGCTACTGTATCCCGTAGTGGTAGAGGATGATGACACGCTTAACCAATGTCCTAGGAGAAACGAAGACGGTTCGGGAAGAAAGGAACCAAAGAGAGTTTGTACTACAGGGTGCTCTCAACTCCTTCATTATTTGTTACTGCAACGGGAGTCCATGACTTGGGGCGTCGGCAGGTGCAAACAAAATCGCTGAACATCTCCGTGGATCATCTCCAAGAGTTTCTAAAACCCACTTACAATCTTTGATTTTTTTTGCAAGACTAGCAAGGTACGATGCAACGAAACACAAGATATATGAATAGAACTTCGTTTCACAACTAGACGTAAGCTATTCTAACTTGTATGGACACGGGTCATGAGTATGAGTCATATATGGAGTATAAGATACGGAGAGCACGACCCAATATGTATTCAAATAAGACCATGTATTCATCATCATCAGACACGAATTGTTCTAACCCGTATAAGTATGGATCACGGAAAAGTGGGGCGAAAAATACTCTCCACTATCTATGTATAGTTACAACGAGATAGAATCTTGGCTCTTTATTCTTTAATACTATGTATAGATTAAAAAGACCGCTCTCCAATGACTCCCTATCAACTTCCAATTATCCGCACTTGAGAAAATTGATCCAATCGCGTGGAAATATACGCGCGTGTATCGATCGACCAATCCAGAGATGGAAGGATGTGGGGAACAATAAGGATAGGATACTGTTCTCGATGCAAATGTACAAGAGAGAAAGAATGTAGAAAAATACTTAGGACGATTTGCAAATACTACCTCTATCCCAAAAAGAATGTAAATCTCACTTCTCGGGAAGTCAAAGATTCTTAATTTTGACCAAATATATAAGAAAAGTATTGATGTTTATGATGTGTAATAAGTATCATTAGATTAATTATAAAATATATTTTCATAATAAATCTAATTAGAGATCTAGATGTAGATAATATATTTATAAACTTAGCCAAATTTAAGATGTTTTGAATCCTCGTGAAGCTAGATTTCCATTTTTTTGGGGACTGAGATAGTAATCATGAATTCCCGATGTAAAATTGTTTTATATTTTATGAGCTAGATTTTGAAAATTGATAGATGAAACCAACTTTTTTTAGCCACTTTAAAAACTAATTGATTTATTAATTAATATTTTTAGGAACTATTTTTTGAACAAATATTTTTAGGAACTATCGGAGATGCTCTTAGCAAGGTACTACTTGTAATCATCTACACGACATTGAAAAAAAAGAAAATATGTCTTGGATTTTTAGATTCTTCTTTATATTTAATAAAATTGGCACCGATCGTGCTAGCTCGCTAAACAAACTTATAATACTAAACGCATCAATAAGATACGAAGCCATTCAATACCACTTCCTACTTTGTCAATAGCTGATCTTCCTTGTCAATTGAAGTTAAAGCAGTCCTTGTTTTTTTTAAACGGAGTGATATATTGTTTAGGAAGTGCATTTTGAGGAGACTTCATAAACGTCCCCAGATGTTTCTTTTACCAACACTTTGGATTAGTTCAGAAAACCATTGTTGACCAGATGGCATCGATACGATTTTTTAAATAAAACAGTTGACAGGAAAAAAGTCATTCACTCATTCAGACTTTCAAAAATTACAAAAGGTATTCTCAAATATCGAGCTTTGCCAAACTTCTTGAGCACACAATAGATTTTTTTGCACATTTTTCTCTAGAATTCATTTTGAATTACCCCCCTATTAGTAGCATGTGGTTATCTTATAAATTCTAATAGGTTTAGTGCTTACTAGTTTGCTGGTATCCAATCGTTTTTTGTGAGCTCTATAAATTCAGCATAAGGCTAAACCGTAAGACCCCATTTGGTAGACTTTCAGTCAGCTTCAGTTTTAGATATTTTTATAAACTACAACAAGGAGCTGTTTTTATTTCCCTACACAAAATAAATAGGAGCCATTTTGGCTTTATCGGCTCTGGCTCCGGCAACGATTTCTCCATGTCATGTCCTATGGAACCGAAGCAGTTTAGAGCTATGCCAGAAAAAATGTAATAATGGATTAATTGAGTACTTGATTGCAAAACTAGTCTGAATAAAATTTTATTACAACTAGAATTCTTGAATTGTGACTTTTTTATAGCGTACGGACCCCATATTCCAGCATCTCGCTTGCCTACAGGTGGGCCCAAAGGTACTCTCTCTCTCCCGCCCTTCCCCGCTCGCGACTGGAGGCGGAGTCCAAACTCCAAACCAAACCGGCGCTTCCCCCCACGTCTTCTCGAGTTCCCACGCGCCTGCTATAAATCGCAGCCCTCAATCCCCACTCTTTTTATCCCCTCCTCCGCCATCCCCTCCCTCTCCCCTCAACCCAGCGCCCCCCCTCCCCCGCCGCCGCTAGGGTTTCTCCTCCCCTCCCCGCCCGCCCCCAAATCGTCCCCGAAGCTTCCAGTGCCTCGCGCCGCAGACATGAGCGACGGCAAGGACTCCCTCGACCTCTCCGCCCTCGGCGCCGCCATCCCCAACTCGGCCGGTTCGTTGCTTCGCCTCTCTATTTCTATTGCCGTTGCTTGGGCGCGGTGCCTTTGTCTGATTGGTTTGCGGCGGTTCCGATGCAGAGCTCAGCGCGGAGGACAAGGCCCACCTTGTGGCGTCGATCAAGGTGAGTTTTCTATTGCATTCCCGGGCGGCGGTTCGCTGTTTTTTTGTTGCAGTTTTGGCGGGCTTGTGGTCGGGTTGGGCGGTTTTTGGGGGATTTCATAGTGAGCCTACGCTGAATCGGTGTTTTCTCGCGCTTGTTTAGAACACGCTCGAGGGATTGGCGTCGCGGCATACCGACGTGCTCGAGAACCTCGAGCCCAAGGTCAGGAAGCGCGTCGAGAAGCTCAGGGAGATCCAGGTATAAAGTTGCTTACTCTTGTGGGACTATGATGTTGGTTTTGTGATAGTTTCTGCTGTTGTGGCATGCATCGGTAGGGAGCTTTGTGTGGTCCTGTATCATTGTCTGTGTCTAATAAAGGATGCATTATGTGATTGTGTTTATACTTGTCATAATGGTATGACGGTGTATGGTTGGTGTGCACTAGCACCAGCAATTCCAATCCTAATAGGAGCTAGGACAATGTTGGATACTATTATTACTGGAGATTCTGGAGAAGTGCCAGCCACTGTGAATGTTTGTGTCACACATTGGATGGTATTTATGATGCCTGGTTGTGAGCTCTAGATTTATATTTTTGCCTGTAATAACTAATGAACCTTTGGCTCCTGAACTCAAGGTGTATTGGGATTTTGAATTTTGGAAATGGTATGATACTGATACACATTATCTTTATAGATCTAAATCTAACCATGTGAAAACCTTAGTTTAGATCAAAGTATCAGACAAAAGCTCTCTTATTACGCTTGCGTCTAGACTGGGTTTACTTTGTGCAACATATTTATGCCTTTCTGTCATGCAGATCTCTCGCTGATTGGTTTACCACTTGGTTCTGTATTATTATATAGTAATCACTTGGGCAAGTTGAATTGATGCTCTAGATACAATTGCGGTTAGTTCATTACCATTGTATACTGTCTTCTAGGGCCAACACAATGAACTTGAGGCAAAGTTTTTCGAGGAGAGAGCAGCTCTAGAAGCCAAGTATCAGAAGTTGTATGAACCACTTTACTCAAAGGTAAGCTTGTTCATGTTTTGATACAATGATGCCTCTGTATATGTTGTGTTCGGTTTTGTACTGTTGCTATTTTTTTCAACTTCTGAACTGCTCTGAGAATTCATACGCCTACCATAGCAATAGACACTTGATTAGCATGTATGCAAAAGAAATGTTAGTATTCTGATGCTCCATAAAGTACAGGCATCCCTTCACTATTGCTGCATCCTATTTGATGCCATGAGCCATGAGCCATGACCCATCTGATTGTTTTATTGGACCTGAAATTGACAGCGTTACGAAATTGTCAATGGTGTGGTTGAGGTTGAGGGTGTCACAGAAGAAAGTGCAGTTGAAACCCCTGCAGAGCAAAAGAGTGGAGATGAGACCTCTGCTGAGCAAAAAGGTGAACATAGTTTCCACCTGATTAAGATCTCTTGTCTCCATTGGATAATGGAACTCTTAAAGAAGAAATGTATCCTCTTGACTTTTGTTTTGACTTCAATCACAATGCTTCCTTGCAGAAGAAAAAGGTGTACCAGCTTTCTGGCTTAATGCAATGAAGAATCATGAAATTCTAGCTGAGGAGGTGAAGTCTTGCATCTTTTTTACTTTTTTTTTTGTTCTGAGGGCCATCGATACTTTGTATTCCAACATGTTGTAATGCATTCTTACACAAACCAGTCTTTGATTGGCTTTAAATAATTCTTGTCCTTCAATTTTCAGATCCAGGAGAGGGATGAGGAAGCTCTCAAGTACCTCAAGGACATCAAGTGGTACAGGATCAGCGAGCCAAAGGGCTTTAAGCTTGAATTTCACTTTGATACAAATCCGTTCTTCAAGAATTCAGTGCTTACAAAAACATATCACATGATTGATGAGGATGAACCAATTCTGGAGAAAGCCATTGGGTAATTATTAAATATTTTCCTCTCGTGGAGTTAAGTTTTCTTTTGGATGGATAGAAAGTTTTAGTAATGCCTATGTTCATCAATTTCAGTACTGAAATTGAATGGTACCCTGGGAAGTGTTTGACACAAAAGGTGCTAAAAAAGAAGCCACGGAAGGGGTCAAAGAACACTAAACCTATCACAAAAACTGAAGATTGTGAGAGCTTCTTCAACTTCTTCAGTCCACCTCAAGTCCCTGATGATGATGAGGAAATTGATGAGGATACAGTAAGTTTTTAGCTTATATTTACCTGCTTTTATGGTTAAACATGCATACACGAACATGATTGAATTTGACTTGATGTTCCCTTTTCAATAGGCTGAACAGTTGCAGAACCAAATGGAGCAAGATTATGATATTGGGTATGTTGTTATGTGTTCTGTATTATATGTAGTGGTTTCCTTCCTGTTACAGATTATATGCTTCTGTGATCAGGGGATTTTATCAATCTGTTGATGCACCAAGATTGAGTTTGTTTATTTCTTCTAAACTATCCTTTCTATATCTGCCAGATCTACCATCAGAGACAAGATTATCCCACATGCTGTCTCGTGGTTCACTGGAGAGGCTGCTCAAGATGAGGACTTTGAAGTTATGGATGGTGATGACGATGACGATGAAGATGATGACGATGAAGACGAAGACGACGAGGATGAAGATGATGATGATGATTACGATACCAAGGTATAGAAACCTTTTTTTCTCTCGAACGAGGAATATCACTTCTACACCCTTTCCAGCTTCTGAGTATGTTTTGACATTTTTTTGCCTTTCCTCTTTGGAACAGAAGACCAAGGGAACAGCTGGAGGGGAAGGGCAGCAAGGCGAACGACCTGCAGAGTGCAAGCAGCAGTAAGGTGCTGCACATCGAATATTGGCAGGCATTGGTTGTGGAGCAATTAGGTTCTGCTTGATGCAATGTCATTGAGTTGGTTTTGTGGAGCCCTTGAGGGGGAGCTTGTTGGTTTTATGGAATTGGCGGGGGGATTTTTCTGGGACATGGCGTTATGTGGTAGTTTTGTCACTTGCTGTATTGGGTTTCAGATATTATATATGTGCTCATCTTATGCTTGGAGTGAAGATGGTTGCCACTCTGGTATGTCTTATTGTGCCTACCACTGGCATAGTGTGCTGTACTTTCATCAAGCGTGCCGTGCCGCTGGGAAATTTTGCTCTAGGGGAAAGGCTAGCCTTTTGCATGAAAATGTTTTGCGGATTGCTTCTTGCACATGGTCTTGCATTTACCATTTTGTCCGTTGTTACACAATGACCTAGTCGTTCCAGACTCCATTTCAGCAGTTTCCGAGTTTTGAAGGAAGTTAAGCTCGGCAACTATTAGAAATAAAGAAAGCGATTTGTGAAGTCCATTTTTTTTTTATCACGAACTATCGCTTGTCTGGTTTTGGTCATGAACTAGGAAATTGCTGACTCAGCTAGGGCCCTCCGTCTTCCTCTCCGGTATCCTCTCCTCGCGCACCTTGATACTAGATTCCCTCGCCGCCTAGAATGGAACCTGTTGAGTATCTGCGGAAGAGTGGAACCCTAGCTTCCCCGTATCCTCGCCGCGTCGCACCTTGACCTTGATACTAGATTCCCTCGCCTAGATGGAACTTTAGATTGAGTATCTGCCAAAGAGTGGAAACCCAGCTATACTGCGTCCCTCTTCTGCAAACACTCAACCTAGGGTTCCATTCTAGACCGGAATGTGGTATCCAGGTGCGTTGGGGAGAGGATAAAGGAGAGGGAGACCATGGGCTCTAGCGAGTCAGCAAGATGAGAGGGCATTAAACGGGTATAGTGGCCAAAGTGAGTACTTGGCTTTGAGAGTTGACTGGTCAAAAATTCCTGTTTTCAAGTTCAGCGATCAAAAACAAACTTACGATAGTTCAATGGCAAAATAGACCCTTCTTTTCTAAGGAGCGACAGCGGACCGGTTAAGCCAAGTAAGGGCAGGAGCTAGGTAGCGAAATACATGAAATGGGTTTATTCATGGCGCAAACCCCTCAGGGCGTCCGCAACAGCGGGCGACGTCGCTGGCCTAGGTCCACGTGGAAGACGGAGAAAGGAGAGAGGCATCTAGCTAGCGACGAACAAATCGTCAAGCGATTTCACGCGCCTAGTGTTTGAGAGAACAGGTGGGACCAGATGAGAAAAGAATTGATAGGATGGAAGCGGCGTTAATGAGATTCATTTGGGCAAGTTTAGGCTGGGGCAGCAGCGTCAATGGTATGCTAGAAGCCTAGAACATCGGTGAGGTGAAGCACACGTATCGGCACAGGCGAAAGAACAAGAGCTACGATGACGTGAAATGACCAAGCTACATTGTTCACGAGTCAGAACCTTGAGGCTCGGTTACATCGAGCTAGTTAGTAGGCAGGAGGAAACCAGCATCCAGGTACAAAATGCCCGAGCTGCTGCTCCCTGTACCTTTGGCCTAATACCACTCCCCATATCGAATCCAAAAATCTCTGAAGAAACCCCTCTATAGCTGTTACAACCTACCCCTGTCCATGGTGGCTGCACCAGTGCTCCTAAACATGTTAGACAGTGCACCGCGGTAGAGTGACCGGATCCCCTCCAGCCTGTATATCTTCCTCCAGCAGTCGAGTGTGCTGCTGTACATCTGCACCTCCATCCCTGACTGCATCATCATCCTCCGCCACACCGTGTCCAGTGGGTACGGCTGCCATGGATGTCACGGTCTGTGCTGCAACCCAGCGCTACAACAGGGGGGACTCCAGAGGCACCAGGACATTTTTGGCAGTGTCGAAGCCACCAAAGTACAAGCCCCGGTGAACGACCATCCCCTGGAGTGATGCTGGTAATCCCCTGTAGATGCCTCTGATGCCGTTTTTCTTGTAGATGGTTTGGATGAAGTGGCGAATGCCTCTGAACTGGCGGGTGTCTGTACGTCCGATATCAGCTGCAAGACGAGTGTGAGCAATGTCGAGTGGATAGATGAGGACCAGGGTAGTACATCCGGCAGCAGCACCAGCAAGTTGCTAAGAGCAATAGAAGTGAACTTATTGTCTGATGAGGTTCCAGCATCTTTCAGTATGCTCCTGTACAGATCCTGCAAGAACAATGGTTGCTCTTACAACATCAAACTTTCTAATTGACTCATGTACTCTTGATAAATTAAGAAAATTGAACATAGGTACTCATGTACAAGAAACATGCAACATGCTAGATGATAGTGTTTATGAAAGGCTATGTAAGTTCAAGCTGGTCTCCAATACATTGACTGGATATAGTGTATCATTTGGTGTCTAAACCATAAACATCCATTAACTTCTAACTGCTGGTTTTTCCAAACTTTGTGACGATAAAAAATATCAGCTACATTTATGTATCACTACTGGTTATATAGTCTTGGTAAAGCAAAGATAGTATGTCTACAGTCTACTATGAATGTCACAGTCAGTCATAATCATAAAATTACTCAAAGAGTCCACACCACAACATGACATACCTTCCAAAACCCATTAGACCAGTGCAATAAAATATCAACATACGGCATTATGAATCTACGCCATCCATTACTTCCAGAACGCATGGAAACAAATGCCAGGTCCAATAGATGCTGTGGAAACTATTATTTATACAAGCACTATCTTTCTGCATTGCCTTTTGTCATCTTGTGCCAAAGTTTGTCAGTTCTAAACTTTAACAGCCAAGCTTTCATAATAAACAATTACACAAATTTTTAGTTTAGGAATCCATGTCATTAGATTACGATGATTTAGTACCCAATGAACCGACAAGTAAATCCCCGATTCCTTTTCATGCTAAACAATTTTGATGAAATCATGAAATCAAACATTCATTGTAGGTCAGCCAAACAACAAATGACAACATAACACCAACCCAGCCAGGGGCCAATCGTCAAAATTCTGGTCATGAATAATCCTGAACTCCCGGATCCTCGACAGAAAAGAAAAAAAGATGGCTCCAAAGTCCAAAATGGATATAAAGCGCAAGCATATATGCCCAAAAGACACCGATGACTGTTCTGATGGTACTTGCTAAGTATGTAGTGCTCTCTATGATGAGACACATGATACCTTTATTCTCTCATTCTATTTTGCCATTTGTGGTGGCAAATATTTACCTGTGGAAAGTGAAATCGCACCAAATCTCATATGTTGGCAACAAAGATCGACAGACAGAACCAAATGCAGGGACCTAATATTCTTTCATTCACACCACACGCTGCAACCTGCAAGCATAAACACAGACAGTACTCGATGCCCCCCGCACAGTCCTAAACCAAGCAACCAACTACCTTGCCATACCCTTCCTGACAAGCTGACATCATAGCCTTGTTTACCCTTCCTGTGTCCAATCATACAAGCTGACATAAAGCTGTAATTAGTTTTATTTTTTATTTATATTTAACAGAACCAAAAATTTAGGAACACCTGTTTAAGCGCATGGACGAAACAATGAGTTGTACCACGAACCTAATAATATTTGCATCTGATGCAATGCAAAATTTTTATTCTACTGAACCTAAATAGGCACCAACCTCACGACGGGGAAAGGAAATGACAGGTGTAATAATAATGGAGTAAATAACTTGTAATGCACGAACGAGAAAGGGAATAGATAAAAGGACGGTAAGGGGGGTGTTTGCGGGTCGGGGAAGGGAAGGAACCTTGAGTGAGAAGTTGAGGGCGACGGAGGGGTAGTACCGGATGACGGCGGTGCCGTTGCCGCGCCAGAGCGAGAGCACACCTTCGTCCCGGACGGTGCGCGCGACGCAGTCAGCGAAGCCCCGGAACCTGCGCGCCCTGCCCAGCAGCACGGCGTTGCCGTCCTGCGTCTGCAGCAGCAGCTTGACGCGCTCGATCGGCGCCACCACGGTGTGCACGGCGCCCCCCATCAGCGCCCCGGCCACCAGATCCCGCTCGAACTCCCACACCCGCCCCGCCGCGGCCGCCGCCCGATGGACTCCTCCACTCCCGCCCGCGCCGCCGCCGCCTCCTCCTCGCTCATTCGCCTGCCCTCCCCCCCCCTCCCTCTGTTGTTTGGACTCACCAGCCTCTCGCCCTCCTCGCCACCCCCTGCACTCCGCTGTGCGCTGCGGGCTGTGGCCTGTTCAGGCGCGGCGCCTACCGCCTAGAGGAGGAGCCCCCTCTGAACAACTACTACTACCAGTCTACCACTACCAGACGGCGCCTCTTTGTTTCGGCTCGGGTCGTTCCAGCACTTGGACTCGGGTCGGTTGGGGCTTGGGCGCGAGCGCATCGGGATGGCTCTCGCCTTGCGTGTCCCCCCTGCGTCCATCGATCCTATCCTCTCCTCATTCCATGGGAGTGGGAGAGGGGGGATGGCCTGCCATGCGGGGCCCACCTGCCATTGTCACTGTGCAGAAAGCTACCGGTGGTCTCTCCTCTTGGGCGCAATGCAATGATGAGGGAGGGATTACTCCTAGATGCCTGGCACTGACTTTTTGAAAATCTAGACCCAGCGAGTCAAGCTGATTTGGACGGCAGATGTTCTAGCAACTCTGGTTCTGGATAAACACATCCTGATAGTACAAACCATATCCACAATCTTGGATTGGAACAGGGGATTTTTTCCTCAAGGTCTGTTCGCAAATGGTTAAGTGGGTGTGCTCTACAATTTCGGACGCAAGCGCGACGTGCCCTGGTGGAGATGGGACCTGAGGAAGTCAAGCACCAGCGAGGCCAGCTCCTCCTCGTGCCCGGTGTAACGGTGGTTGGCCTCTGCGATGATGCGCAGCTCGTGGTTGGGGATGTTCGCCGCGAACTGCAGTGCATCCTCCGCCGGCACGATCTCGTCTTTGGCGCCGTGGATCGTGAGAACCCTACACATCACAGGATGATTTTTTTCTTCTTCTTATTCCATCAACGGAAGGTGTCTGTACATACAGCCGTATCCATGCGTGTGTAAGAGATGTCTCACCTGCAGACTTTGCTTATGGCACGGCTGGAGAAAAGGGTATCAGTGCTCAGCCGGTCTTCCAGACTCGCTTTCCTCACCCGGTACTCCAGCTCCCCTGCAAAACCACCAAAACAATGCGATGAACGATGATCCTCTTTATAATCGTTCCACTACATTGCCATGTGTCCTGGCTTGGAAAGAGTGAGCAGAAACACCGACCCCTATAGTTTAACTTTCGATAGTTCCAAGATTGACACTAGATCAGATGCATTTGTCTCACCCTGTGCTAATTGATTAGAAAGCTAAGCGATGGTCCATTGAATCAGACTCGTATGATTAACAGAGAGAATGCCATATCAATCAGTAAAGAAAGGCTAGACCTTTTTTATTCTTCACATCGATGTATCCATCTTTGTTTATTCTCTTCATGAAATTCTTCCCAAGGCGCCCCTCAATACCTCGCTCTAATGCAAAGCGGCCAGAAATGTTGACAATGATGGGGACGTCATGGTACTTGGAAGCATAAAGAAGCACAGCATTTCCTCCTGAAGAAAAGGAATACAAGTAGTAAGACCATATACTATATATGGTGTGTTACCTGAATGAAAAGCATGGGTGGCACGCAAAGATGAAAACACATCATCGGAAAAGGAATGATCATGCAAACTTGGCCAAGTATATTGAACTATAGGAGTAAATGACAAGTCAAATAATTCTCTTGCAATGTCGAGCACTTTCTGTACAAGTCCTTGTCGAATAACTCCTTATATGGGACTTGGTGGATAATTTGGCTCTTCGGCAAAATGTGCCCGATAATTTGGCAACTAACTAAACCAGGGTCATACACTAGTAAATCAGCTTATAATGCTTACTCTTTTGGTTCCATCAAGTATGCGCCATGTAAACGGATTTGGAAACCTTGGGCTCCACTCTGCTGCAAATTCTTTATTTGGCTGGCAATCAAGAATAGATGTTGGACATCCGATCGACTGGCTAAATGAGGGCTGCCGTATCCCACTACGTGTACCCTGTGTGATCAAGAAGAGGAGACAAGTTTGGTAGCTCATCCTCCAAAAATGGGGTCTGAAAGCTCTTGCCCCTCAGCCTGATGCAAGGCGCTTCTCTAATTGGTGGAATAGTGCTGTCAGAAGTGTGCCCAAGGATTTTAGGCCTCAACTCCCTCATCATTCTGGTGGTTTGGGAGATATGGAAACACTGCAATGCTAAGGGTGTGTTACAGTCGGTCAGTCGGTGGCGAATGAGAGTAGCTTGTGGTGCTTCAGCCCTCCACGAGCTACCCATCAGGTGGCTTATCCTTGACAATTAGGTCAGGGTGTGTGTGGTGGAGGTCAGGTTTTCTAGTTTAAGTGACACGCCTGCAACTATACATCTATGGAACTGCCCTCTAGCCTTTCCTCGTATTTTTTCCTAGTTATACTGAAATGATATGCAGTTCTCCTGCCTCGTTGGACAAAAAAATAGAGGCTGCTGTGTGCTGTCTACTACCATGATCACCTGACATATGATTCACACACACAAAAAAGAAAAGAAAAGAAAAGAAAAGAAAAAAGCAAGGAATGGAGATAAGAAGCTATATGCATGTCAGGTAGTGATTACTTTCAGTTATAGTGAATGTTCCTCAACTTGTCTTTCCACTAAGCAACAAACTCAGAAAGCAGTAGTTCAAGTTTGCATCCCAACCGACTTTTGATGCCAATTTTGCATGTTAATGCAATTTTGTATGCATGAACATATACTGTGCATGATAGGCATCAACACAAAAGGAGAACTTAATACATATAAACAGTAGCTTTCCTACCTTTGCTATGCCCAATAAGAGCAATTATGTCGTATTTCTGTTCTGAGAAATGTAATACTACAGAGCGCAAATCAGCTGCCTCTTTTCTGTAGCTTCCATACTGGAATTCACCATCACTTTCCCTTTAAAGGAGAAAGAGGACACATAAGTATAAACAGGAAGACAAATTCAACGTGGTTCTCAGAACAGAAATTATTCAAAGAATTATACATTAAATTGGAGAATGATGGCTGCAGGCTGTAGCTACTTGCTGACATGTTATAAACAGCATGGACACATTTCAATTCAACGCTAACATTAGAAATCTCCCACGACATTGATACCATGCTCTCATATATGCCATGATCACCACAAGGTGTTACAATGGCTTACCCATTTCCAGAAAAATCAAACCGAAAAGCACTAATTCCTTCCTTTGTGATGGCATCAGCAAGGTCAACCAAGATGCTGTCATCCTGTAGGTTTTGTTCAAAAGTGCCAGATTACTAATAGTGACAGTAATAGTATAGAACTGAAGTAGAACATATTAACTTTTTATCCATAATCCTTTCTGCTCTACTTTGTGAATTCTGTGTGATTTTTCTCTCCAGCTTACCCAACTTGCTCGGGGTTAAAAAGGCTTTGTCCTTGTTATTGTTGCGATACATTGAGAATGTACATATCTACATTGAGAATATACATATACTTTGTAGTGACAGGTAGAATTGTGTTCCTATTGCTCATTTCTTTATAACAAGACTAGCACGACCTCAATTGAATTTGTATCAGAAGTGGAACAACTTTGCACAAGCAAAAGTTTACAAAAAGAAAGAAAGAAAGAGAAGGATGGAAAGAAAGAAAGAAGGAAGGAAAGAAGTTGAAGCATCTTGAAAGTGTTACATCTCAAAGGAAAGAGTAGAAATAAAGCAATACCATATGCTCCATTCCTACCTAAAAGAATAATTTTAGCAGACCAAATGGAGACATACAAGAATCTTCAGATCATTGATGTTTAAATAGCTGGATTTATACTCCTACTTATCACTTCACTCAACATCCTCATAAAGTACATGCACAGGGAATTAGTACCAAAGAGAATCAGATACTCAATTAAACTATTTTGTTCCTAGGGTATATTATATGACAGCAACAGAAGTAGGGGGGGAAAGACTGTAAACATAGGGCTAAACTCAATATCTAATCTAATCTAATATACTTAAATGCAAAAGTTTCCCATGGATGGTACGGACTTGCCTTTGTGGCTCGGAATCCATGGCAAAGGATCACAAGTTTCTTTGAACTTGTTTGATGTAATAAACCAACAAGCTTCTCCCCATGCTCGTTTGGAATTAGAACTCTTTGTTCACAAATAACTGTAAGCCACATGTTCAAATCGTCATACAAGTACAAATCAGAGTAGGAAACAACATTGTGAAACAAACGTGTAATCAGGTATAAATCAAGGTTTTGAATATGGACAGACTTTAGACAGCTCAATACTCATAAGCTTTCACATAATGAACCGAGTCAGTACAAAGCACATATATAGGCTTAAAATTAGCTTGTTTAACCCAGTGTGAACTCATAATCTGACCAATTGCAAAGTGGAACAGTAGTGAAATGGCCATCTCAAGCTTTGCGACGCTCGAAAACCCGATCAAATCTCACGGATTATGTAACTATAAATTTCTGAAGTCCACCATGTATGATGGGAGTTGAATATGCAGATGCTATACTCTATAACATGCCATGAACCACACAACCACGGCCGAAAGAAACAGATCGGTTAGGAATTCAGTCACCAGAGGAAGCCTCGCTCGAGCTCGCACGGGCCGCGGGGGACCTCCTACCTGGGGACTGCGGGCATTTCTCCAGCGGCATGTGGACGAGGACGGCAGGTGAGGGAGGAGCTCTCGAACCCGGACCAGCTTGCCCTGCCTCAAAGCTCTGGCGGCCACGAGATACGCGTCTCGCCGGAGGGCCGCTCGCGGTCGCGGAGGAGGGAGGAATAGCGTTGCGAGAAGAAAAAATTGCAAAAATGACACTCAAGATTGACTGCTTGACGACGATGACACTCGGTGCCGTTGATCTATGAGGAGACTTTTTCCCGTGTGCCGTTGATCTACCAAGAGATATTTTTATCATATTTTTTTGCTAATTAAATAAAATAATTTTTATAGTGAAAATTATGATCTTGACGAGAGATCTAAAATAGTCTTTGATTTTTAAATTATAAAAATTTTATTATTTAATTCGCTTCAAAAAAAACATCATTTGATTTAAGGGAAAAATCTTGAAATTTTTTTTTTTTCATATATTAATTTGATCGCATGTAGAATTTTTCCGAATTTTTCTTCAAGGAAGTTAAATTTTTGAAGAAGTAACGCATGAAGACTATAAATTTTTAGCAGAACACAATTGTTAATTACGAATCTTTTATAAATTCGATCTTTTATAAAAAAAAAAGAATCTCATCTATGAATGTGGGTCAGGTGGGGAACGAAAGGAGTGAACAGAGGAAGGAAGAAGCTGCTCTGGACGGTCCAGATCTGCCGGCACACACGATCGAACGGTGGTCCCGCCCACATTAGGCCGCGAGGGTTTTGCAGCCGCAGGGCTAGAGATGGCAACGGGGAATTCCCCGTCGGGTTTCGTCTCCCCATCCCCGTCCCCGTGGGGCAAGATTTTCCCCATCCCCGTCCCCGCGAAAGCTCACGGGGGACGTTCGCCCCCCATCCCCGAACCCGACCGGGGAATGCATCCCCGACGGGGTCCCCGTCCCCGCAAGAAGCTTGAGAAAGAAATACTCAAATCAACACTCCAAATGAAGAAATGTTCACTACGTACGCATCTTGCAGCATGAATAATGATTGTTTACTTTACAAATCATAGTTGCAAACAAATCACAAAAAAAAATCTCACAAACACACAAGTGCTTGTTTCAGGATAGAAAAGTAGATGCAAAACAAGAGACGTCTCTGCGTGTCTGCTATCCACTAGCAGGATGAGAAAATGAAGACGCAAGACAGCAACATCTTTCTTGCAAATCGATGTATCGAGCGACAAGCGTGATGCGCAGGGGTCATGGCGACCGGTGATGGCCCGGCCTGGGGCTCCAGACATGCTGCACGGCGCACGCCAAGGGAGGGCGGACTGGCGGAGGGGCTAGGGGCTTTGACTAGCGAGGATGCGCAGCGGCTCGCGCGCAGGCGTGAATCGCGCCGTCGTGGGCGGCGGCTGCGGACTGTGGACTGGCTGGAGGCTGGGGATTCGAGAGCTGAGGGATTAGGGAAGGGAAGAAGCAGGTGCTCTGGGGACGGTCCAGATGCTGAATGCTCTTACGGGCGGGTTCACACGATCGGACGGTGGTCCCGCCCCATTAGGACCCGATGGGGATAAGTTTTCACCAATTAGATCTCCGTGGCGAGGGTTTTGCAGCCGCAGGGCGCTCCCACGCAGGCGGGCAGACGCAGATGACATCTTTACGCAGGGCGCTCCCACGCATGCGGGCAGACGCAGATCACTCCGCCTACTCTCCCCCCCTTCCTTACTCCGCCGCCGGCGCCGACCAAGGCAGCGCAACGCTTGTTCCCTTCCTCCAGAGGGGAGATGGCGCTCTACCGTCGTGTCCTGCTCCTCCGCCGCCTCTCCCACCTCCACCCCTCGCCCGTCCCCGCCATCTGCTCCTCACCACCACCCACCCTTGCGGGGCTCCTCACCCCCATGGGGCGCCGCCACTTGGCCTTCTCGTCCGCCGAGGAGGCCGCCGCCGAGCGCCGCCGCCGCAAGCGCCGCCTCCGCATCGAGCCTCCAATGAACGCCCTCCGCCGCGGCCCGCCTCCCCCGCGGGACCCCAATGCGCCCCGCCTCCCGGACACCACCTCCGCGCTCACCGGCCCGCGCCTCAGCCTCCACAACCGCGTCCAGTCCCTCATCCGCTCGGGTGATCTAGACGGCGCCTCAGTCGCCGCCCGCGCCGCTGTCTCCTCGCGCGTCCGGCCCACCGTCTTCACCTGCAACGCCGTGGCCGCGGCCATGGTCCGCGCCGCCCGCCACGATGACGCCGTCGCCCTCTTCGATTTCTTCTTCCGCCGCTCCAACATCGTCCCCAACATCGTCTCCTACAACACCCTCATCCTCGCACACTGCGAGGCCGACCGCGTCGACACCGCTGTGCAGGTCTACCAGGACATGCTCGCGTCTGCGCCCTTCTCCCCCTCTGCCGTCACCTTCCGCCACCTCACCAAGGGTCTCGTCGCTGCTGGCCGCATCCGTGACGCCCTCGATCTCCTCCGCGAGATGCTCGACCGCGGCGCTGGCGCCGACTCCCTCGTCTACAACAACCTCATCGCTGGCTACATCGACCTCGACGACTGGGGCAGGGCCTTCGAGCTCTTTAACGAGCTCGCAGAGAGGTGCCTTGTCTACGACGGTGTTGTCCACACCACCTTCATGGAGGGCTACTGGAGGCAGGGCAAGGACAAGGAGGCCATAGACAACTACCAGTCCCTTCTTGATCGGGGCTTCAAGATGACGCCGGCCACCTGCAACGTCCTGCTCGAGACACTCTTCAAGCACGGCAAGCACAAGGAGGCCAACGACCTATGGGAGACCATGATTGACAACCACACCCCACCAAGCTTCATCGGCATCAACGCCGAGTCCTACAATGTCATGGTTAACCAGTGCTTCAGGGAGGGCAAGTTCCAGGAGGCGATTGAGGTCTTCCACCGCCAGCCCAGGAAGAATGTCCAAATGGACGTCGGCTGCTTCAACAACATCATTGGCAAACTCTGTGAGAATGGCATGCTAGCTGAGGCAGAAAAGCTCTTCGAGGAGATGGAGAAGAAGTCAGTCCTTCCAGATGTGTACACCTACAGTTACCTTGTTGACTCATGCTTCAAGGAAGGCCGTGTGGAAGATACAATGGAATATTTCTACAAAATGGCAGATGGGAAGCAGCATGGGCCAAAGTTCAATATTGGTTTCTTCAACCGCATGTTTGAAGGGCTTACAGAAGCTGGCCGGATTGATGATGCCTTGATGGTGTACAGGAGGATGCCTGACAAGGAGATCAAACCAAACATGACCACTTTTGAAATCCTTGTCAAAGCCTTATGCAAAGAAGGGGACTTGGATCAAGCAAGGGGCCTAGTAATGGACATGGCAAGAGGTAGTATTGTGCCTCCTCCAGAGTTCCGTGAGTCTGTTGTTAACTTTTTCAAGAAGGCTGGTCGACAGGAAGAAATCAAGAAAGCTTTTGAAGAAAAACCTATGCCAACAACTCAGCCTAGGACAGAGTATCAGTCGAGGAATGAGTATCACTCGTGGAATGCAGTTGGTCCTGCTCAAGTAAAACAACCTGGCTTTAGCTCTGCTCCAGCAATGGAACCTGAATTTGTTTACTCTCAGCCACAACAGTCAACACTTAGTAACACTCCAAATCAGCAGCCTGAGTTTGGCTCATCTCGTTCATGGAATTCAGGTTTTGGTGCTCCTCAAGTGCAGCCTGGATATGGTGCACCTCAGCCTGTACAGGCTGTAGTTCAGGCTGTAGTTGGTTCATCTCAGCCACCCCGGACACAGTTTGGTGCTTCTCAGGGTGAACCAGGATATAGCAACATAGGAAATCAGCATGGTCAGTTTGGTTCTCCCCAGAGAGAACCAAAATTTAGCAACCATCCACCACAAGTTGGGTATGGTGCCCAATTGCCTCAGTCAGGATATCGCTTTGAGCTTCAACAAGAACAGGTTGGATTTGGAAATCGAGTAGCACAACCTGCATATGACACCCGCTGGAGCTCAAGTGGTTATGGATCAACCCAAGGGCAACTGGGATACGGTGGTCCTCAAGCGCAGTCACATGAATCTCAGTTACGACATCATCAGGGAAGTTTTGGCATGCCACATATCCAAAATAACAATGGCTTCTATAGACACAACCCTGGATACATGCCATCTAATGGTCTGCAGGGATTTGATGCTCCCCATGGTGATTCTGAAACTTCTGCATCTAAAGACTATCAAGAGACTACCACTGATGGATAAGTCTCATGTGTGGCTGGTCTTTGTGAAATTTTGTCTTTGCTCACATGGTCTTTGTGGTACATTTTTACATTTTTTAGGATGACATCTTAAACTAGAGACAAAGCATCTTAGACTAGAGGACAACATCTTAGCTAGATGACATATTAGCATCTTAGACTAGCATCTTAGACTAGCATCTTGGCATATGCTTGGGTGGCTAGCGACCTATAAATATGTAACCCCAACCCCTCAAGTTGGTATGGCATTTGTGTGAGTTTGTGTGAGAAATAGATAAGAAAATTGCCTCAACTCCTAGTGTCATCCTTTCTCGATGAGAGTAAGAATTCTCCTACTACCAAGGTTAGAATTTGACTAACAACCCAGTATCGAGCCGTATTATCCTCAGCTTTGAGCATCTCCCTGCTCATCTCCCTCTCGGCCACACACAACAGCCCAGATGCGAAAGCAAAGCGCCCGGCCCGCCTCGCTCACTCCTCCTCCTCCACTCCACGCAGATTGAAAGCAGCAGCTCTCCCCACGCAGCGATCCCAGTAGCAGCGTCATGTCCATGAGGCGATCTCGGCCTTCGGTCGCCTCGAGCATGCTGGCGGCGGCGGCGGGAGGCCGAACTTTGCAGCAGAGAACGGAGCAGCGGAGAGGCGGCTGGCAAGCAAGTGTGTCGAGGCGGCGGCGTGAGGCGGGCAAGCAGCAAGCGAGCAGAAGGCGAATGGGCAGCGGCGGCGGCGAATGAGGTCGAGGCTGCAGCGGCGACATCAGCGGCTCCATTTCGGCCGACGACACGACACGCCGACGCGACCTCGCTAGAGAGAGAGGCCTGAGAGCTGGAGGGAGAAGGGCAAGCGGCGCGCGTGGCGGCGGCGTAGACAGCGCGGACGCGCGAAGCGGCGCCCTGGAGGAGGCGCGTGCGGTGGCGCTCTGGGGCGACCACGACGCGCGCGCTGGCGGCGGCCTGAGATAAGCGAGAACAGCGGCGGTGGCGCCTCGAGGAGGCGCGACGCAACAGCGGTGGCGGACAGGTCGATGGAGAGCGCGGCCTTCACGCAGCGGCGTGGCTTCTCTCCGGATCGATGCACCGACGGGTCGATGGAGACCGTGGCCTTTCACGAGCGGCGTGGGCTCTCTCCCGGATCGATAACGTGGTTACCACGGGCTCCGGAAGTTGTTGTCGGGGACGTCGGTCCCGGCGGTGGGTGGCCTACCCTCACCAAGACCAACTTCGTCGAGTGGGCTGCGGTGATGAGGGTAAAGCTCAGTGCGGCACATGGGGGAGGCGGTCCGTGCGGCGGCGTCGACTACGACCTAGATCGACGGGCGCTGGATGCTCTCATCGCTGCGATCCCGCCGAGATGCGATTCTCGCTTACCAACAAGCGGATCGCCAAGGAGGCTTGGGGGCCGCCATCGCCGCAAGCGCCGCGCATCGCATGGCGGCGCGCCGCAAGTCCACACCGCAGAGCGCCGCGAGAGTGGGAGAACACGGCCTTCAAGCCGGTGAGGGCGTTGATGACTTTGCTCTCCGTCTCAACACTCATTGAGAAGATGGTGCGATTCGGCGACGACACCTACGGCGAGGAGAGAGGCGTCGAAAAGCTCTTCCGCTGCGCCCCGAGAAGTACAAGCGAGATGGCTCGCTCGTCGAGTCTCTCATTGGATCTCTCCACGATGTCGATCGAGGAGGCGATAGGTCGCCTCAAGGTTGTCGGCGGCGATGAGCCCTGATCTCTCTCGGGGCCCATCACCATGGCGGGAAGCTCCTTCTCACTCTCGAGGAAGCGGTGGCTTGCCGACCAAGGTGGCCGGAGGAAGGGGAGCCTTCTTCCGCGACAGCGGCGACATAAGCGTGGCAAGCAGCGCAAAGCGCATGAGACGCCAGGCCGGCGCGCGAGGGCGCGCTGAGAGATGATGCCGCGAGGCGCCAGGCGCGCGCCGCCGGCAGTACTGGCCGCCGACGAGGCGACACACCGCCAGCTGAATCGGCCGGCTTAGCCATTGGGCCAAGGATCGTCGGATACCACGACGCAGCCAGCGAGCCCGTCGCCGCGGCGCGGAGGAGGAGGCGGCTCTGTTCATGGCACATGCCAAGATCGAGCTACCTCCGGTAGCGGCTGCCGGCGCGGCGACTCTCCTCCACCTTGACGAGCAAAAAGCACACGCCTCCTCGGCGGCGGCTCACCAAAGAACGACAAGATCGACGGGTGGTGCCTCGACACCGGCGCCACCCATCACATGACCGGTCGACGGGAGTTCTTCACCGAGCTTGACTCTAGCGTCCAGAGGCTCCGTCAAGTTTGGGGATGCCTCCGGCGTGGAGATCAAGGCGTCGGCTCCATCATCTTCACCGCCGTGTCACGGTGAGCAGGCGCGCTCACCGGAGTCTACTACATCCAGCGTTGAGGAACTCCATCATCGACTTGGGGGATATTTGGATGAGAACGGTTCGCGCGTGGTGGTTGAGGATGGAGTCATGAGGATTTGGGATCGTCGTCGCCGCCTTCTTGCCAAGGTATCTAGAAAGCGTAAATCGACTCTCGTCCTTAACGTGCGGTGGCACAACCCCTCTGTCTCGCCGCTCGTCGGGACGTCGAGGCGTGGCGATTAACCGCAGCGTTTGGGCACCTTCGCCGAGGCCACAGGCGGCTTAGTGCCATGGAGATGGTGCGAGGCCTGCCGTGCCTCGACCATGTGGAGCAGCTCTGCGACGTTTGCGTGTTGACGAAGCAGAGGCGACTCCCCTTTCCCCAGCGGCGAGCTTTCGAGCCAAGGAGAGGCTCGAGCTCGTGCCGCGAGGACTTGTGTGGCCCGGTGACACCGGCCACACCGGGGAGGACGACGCTACTTCATGCTTTGCTCGTCGGCGACTTCTCCGCTACATGTGGGTGATGGTCCTCGGCGGCAAGGGAGAGGCTGCGGGCGCCATTAGGCGCGCTTGCAGTCTGCGCGAGGAGGCGGAGCGCGGCCATAAGCTGCGTGTGTTGCGCGCACCGACAACGGCGGCGAATTCACGGCGGTGAATTCGCGTCGACATACCGATGAGGGCATTCGGCGCCACTACTCGCTAGCCGTATAGCCCGCGGTGCAGAACGCGCGTCGTCGGCAGCGCGCAACGAGACGGTTGTGGGGATGGCTCGGGCCCTCCTCAGCGAGAGGGGATGCGGCTATCTTCGGGAGAGGCGGTGGTGACGGCCGTCTACATCCTCAACCGCTTTCGCTTACCAAGGCGCTCGGCGGCGGGACGCCGCGTCGAGGCTTGGCATGGGCGCAAGCCGGCGGTCTCCCACTTGCGGGTCTTGGTACGCCTCGCGTTCGCCAAGGAGCTTGGCCACATCAGCAAGCTCGGCGGCGAGGAGCACTCCGGGAGTGTTCGCCGGCTCTACGGCGGGGCTCGAAGGCCTACCACATCCTCGACCGAAGACACGGCGTGTGCGCGCGGCGCGACGTTGTGTTCGGCGAAAAGCGCGAGATGGGCGTGGAACAAAGCGGTGGGCGATGGCTCGGCTCCGACGCGTCGGCGACTTCAGCGTCGAGTACGTCCCGCCGAGGGAGCTGGGGAGTAGGCACCTCTTCTTGGCGGCGCGTCTACCCCGGCCCCCGAGCCTCACCGACCCGGCGCTGCTACTCGACAAAGACCACGCTCTCCGGCCGGGACCTCGGTGCGATGAGTTCTTCGCCGGCTTCACCACGGTAAAGCAGCGCCACGCACTCCGGCACCGCAGGCACCTCTCCGGCACGTCTACTCAAACACCGGCTCGTGCCGAGCACGGCCGGTTGAGCTTCGCTTCTCGCTCTCTCACGACGAGGAGCGCATCGACGCGTACCACGACGGCGAGCCGTTGCGGTACCGTACGATGGAGAACCTTCTCGGCGACCAGTTGGTGCCGGGACTGGTGCCTCACGACCTGGAGGACCTGGAGGCGCAGTTGCACCTTGCATGTGACGACGGCGAGCCTCGGTCGTTCGCAGAGGCCGAGAGACACGAGGCATGGCGCGCCGCGATGCAGTTGGAGATGGATGCGGTTGAGAAGAACCGCACCTGGGAGCTTGCTGACCTTCCTCGTGGCCACCGCGCGATCACCCTTAAGTGGGTGTACAAGCTGAAGAGGGATGAAGCCGGCGCCATCGTCAAGCACAAGGCTCGCTTGGTGGCACGAGGTTTCGTGCAGCAGGAGGGGGTCGACTTCGACGACGCCTTTGCTCCCGTGGCACGGATGGAGTCCGTGCGACTCCTCTCGCGCTAGCGCCTGGAGAGGGCGGTGGCGCGTTCATCACATGGACGTCAAGTCGGCGTTCCTTAACGGTGACTTGAAGGAGGAGGTCTCGTGCACTAGCCGCGGGATTTGCGATCCTCGGCAAGGAGGGCAGAGTACTCGCTGCGCAAGGCCCTCTATGGCTGCGGCGAACACCGAGGGCGTGGAAATGCCAAGTTGGATTCCACGCTAAAGGGATGGGCTTGAGCAAAGCCCGACGAGGCGACCATCTACCGACGGGCAATGGAGGAAATGCCTTTGGTGGGTGTCTCGTCGACGACTTGGTGATCACCGGCACCAAGGATGTGGAGGTGGCGGCATTCAATGAAGAGATGAAGGCCACCTTCCGGATGAGTGACACAGGGCCTCTCCTTCTACACGGGAATCGAGGTGCACTGGATGACTCGGGATCACGCTCGACAGACCGCCACGCCAAGCGCGTCGTTGAGCTATTTGGGCTCACCGGCGCAACCCGGCTCTCACTCCGATGGAGGAGAGAGGTGAAGGTGAGCAGCGACGAAGACGACGGAGGAGGTGGGCGCTTCGCAGATCTGCGGCGTCTTGTGGGAGCCTTCGCTACCTCGCCCCACACACGGCCGGACTTGGCATTCTCCGTCGGCTCGTTAGTCGGTTCATGCGGCGTGACCGATGACGGAGCACCGGCCAAGGGTGTGAAGAGGATCATCCGCTACGTTGCGGGGACTCTCGACCACGGCCTTTACTACCCGGGTGCCCTGGGCGACACACGCCGTCGGGCATGCAATGACAGCGACCACGCCCGGCGACATCGACACCAAACAAAAGCACGAGCGGGATCCTCTTCTTCCTCGGCAAGTGCCTCGTTAGGTGGCGATCGGTCAAGCGGCGGTGGTGGCCTGTCCATTTGTGAGGCCGAGTACATAGCGGCCTCCACCGCTTCGACTCAGGCGCTCTGGCTCGCTCGACTGCTTGGTGATCTCCTCGGCAGAGACACTAGAGCGGTGGAGCTCAGGGTGGACAGCAAGTCCGCTCTGGCCCTAGCAAAGAACCCCATGTTCCACGAACGCAACAAGCACATCCGGGTGAGGTACCACTTCATCCGAGGCTGTTTGGAGGAAGGGAGCATCAAGGCGAGCTACATCAACACCAAGGACCAGCTTGCGGACCTGCTCATCAAGCCCCTTGGGAGGATAAGTTCCTTGAGCTCTGCTCCAGGACCGGGATGGTTCAACTCTCCCACAAGATGACGCACAAGACTTAGGGGGAGAATGATGGATAAGTCTCATGTGTGGCTGGTCTTTGTGGGGCTGTGCTGCTCACATGGTCCTTGTGACTGTTTTTCTGTTTTTAGGACAGCATCTTAGACTAGAGGACAGCATCTTAGACTAGAGGACAACATCTTAGCATCTTGGCATATGCTTAGACTAGCATCTTGGCATATGATTGGCTGGCTAGCAGCCTATAAATATGTAACCCCAACCCCTCAGGTTGGTATGGCATTTGTGTGAGTTTGTGTGAGAAATAGACAAGAAAATTGCCCCAACTCCTAGTGTCATCCTCTCTCGATGAGAGTAAGAATTCTCCTACTACCAAGAGTGAGAATTTAGCGACTAACAACCACTTCTGAAGACTGGCAACAGGTAGCATTTCTGAAAGCATGAGGGCTACAAACATATTTTGGCTCCAAATCAATAGCTTTTTGAGTCATAAAATAAATTAGTTCTTTAGATATCAAGATTTTAATGCATAGATGTGAACCAAAATTCGCTATTGTTTCCCTCAAAAAAGAAAGAAAGAAAGAAAGAATTCGCTCGCTATTGTTCCTATGGTCTCACTGCTGTCCTTTTAACTGAAATCTTCCGCTCTTTCTCAGACATGATATGGGTGCATCAGGAATTGTTTTATCAGTTATCATATATACATGTGGTTCAAAAATTGAAATATGTTTTTTTTTTTGTTCCGCATGAGATAAAAATGGAATACTCAATGGATTTTGAGTGGCAGATCCTAAATTCCTATCCTGGGCATAGTGTGTGCCAATGTAGATTAGTGGATGTAGGAATTACTTCATTTAGAATCTCTGGCAAATTCTCAAAAGAACTTTATATGCGCATAACTTGTTCCTTAAGTACTGTTTATTTCTATATTTTGATTTCTCATTACAATTATCAAGCAGCACTGAGAAGATACATTAATGTACTGAGACTCCTCTTCATCCACTTTCTTCTGACATTGAAAAAGCAAGTTACAGGCTTGTGAAATTACAAAAGGTTGCTTCTCTGTTTGACATCATTGATAATATCAGTGATCCTATGAAAGTTTCTGTTTTGGACCATCCACTTTATATGGAACAGATAGGCCAGGTATCAACAAATATAATTATATGTGTATTTCCGTTATTGTTACTGAACTTATCATTTAAGTTTATATTTCATGCATCTGTCATGGGGTTTATTTTGTCAGATGTTTGGCTTTCTTTGGGCTTAGGGCCTTGCCTAGCTCTATACAAGGAGTAGCTGGCAGCTATTATGGGATCAAGCAAGAAGAAATCAATCTAGCCCCATTCCCCAGTTCATCACCCAATCCAAGTCTCCTCCCAGTATAAGCAGCCGACTTGCCGTCCAGTCATCCTCCTGGTGGTGCTTACCCCACTGATGAACCATACTAAGGTTCATCACACTATGAAATAACATGATTGCAGCTTTGCATATAGTTGGCCATACGAGTGTGAAATTTTGAAGTAATCCAAATTTATTCACATAATAGTCGTAAGGATCATGCTATCACTTTTTGAATCTCATGGCTAGGTTGGCCCCACCGGTACAAACCCGAGAATTTTGTTCTGCAAATTGTTTAAGAATTCCAGACATTATTTTCAATCCATAATATGTGTGTTTGCTCATTAGAGCTGAAGTTGAATTGTTCTTTTTTTCTCCAGGCACACGGACCACAATGTGCCCCTTTATGTTCCAGCGCCTATCCTCAGACCTGGGGACGACATCATTGTACGTAGATTACCTATCCTTACGATGTGCTATCTGGTTATGTTGTCAAAAATGTGGAGAAATAGCATTGATCCACCTTCCTATGCAGAGAAAGGTTTTCTTTAACAAAAATCTAGCGTAACTTGATCTGGTATTTTCTTGTTCCAATCCATCCAGTCAAAATAAAAGGAGGAAAATAAACGCTCAGCAAAATTCAGGAACCTATGTTAACGCCTTAGCAGGTGTATTTCAGAAAGATCAATCATCTTTATAGGTGTTATAAGGAACTGACATACGCAACATTATGTTTGTGTTCTTCAGGTAATCATTGAACTGCATGCTCCAAATCCTGGGCTCACTATCGATTTGGTTACGGATCTGGATTTCACGTGCGGTCCAAAACAGTGGTGTACATAGTACAGTACAGTATAGTGGTTTCCTTCCGCTTGCCACTCAACTGCTATCAGAAGAAGCAAGCGCCCCCTTCATCATTCTGCGATTTCCAAATCACACCATTGGTGATTGCCCTGTGTATTTGCAGCCACAGCACGTTCATGGTACACCGTGACGAGCTTTGTATTTTCCGAAAGGGAGTGGATTCAAGCTTGCGTTTGCGCTATATAGCCTATATTTATTGCTTGTGGTTTGGAAAATTGGGATTACGTTTGAAGAACTCTGCAGTAAGAGTAACTCAAAAGATAGTGTCAGGCCTCACAAAGCCCAAGGATCAAAGCCCACACACAGCTTCCATCGGCCCAGCCTATTGCGCAATGGGACTCAGGGTCTTATTGCTTGATGACCAAATTTTGTTTAACAAAATATATGGCAAATCAAATTTTTTTGGCAGCGATTTGATTTGCTACCAAAGTTTGTCAACATCTTACATTTGAGTGGCAAACATTTTTTCCAACTTTATTGAAAAAAAATCTTTGGTATAAGCCTATAAGGTATCTATAAATTTTACTTTCCAAATTTTTGGTATAAGGTATATAAATTTTTGTAACAAACGGAGCAGGCCCTCTCTCCACAGCAACGTGTCAATGTGACACCACACCAAACACAAATAAGAGAACATAGTTGATTTTAATAAAAGAAAAAAAGAAAGAAAAGAGATAAGAAATGAAAACAAGATAAAAAATCAACAAAAAAATAAATAAGAAAAGAAAAAGATAAATAAATATAAGCATGAAAAGAAAACTAAAAAGAACGGAATAAGAAAAAGAAAAAGAGAAAAGAATAAGAAAAATGAAAAATGAAAAGAAAAAACTGACGTGAAGCCAGAGTGTAGGGTTTGTATTGCGTCTGCCACAGCAGTGAGCACTGTACCTGTCCTACTAGGCCTTCGACGCTAGCTACTCAGAGCAATGCAAAGTATATATCCATGGTGCTACCAGACTCACATTGGAAACCAAAACTAGCTTTTTTACTTCTCTGCATCCATCGTACTCTGTTTTTCTCTGCATCCAACGATAGATTAGTTATAAAATATATGTTTATAATAAATTTATTTAAAGATATAAATATTAATAATATTTACTATAAATTTAATCAAACTTATGTTCTTTGATCGGCACACGTTCTATAATTATATTTTTTCGGGAGAGAGAGAGAGGGGGGTAGTATTTCACTGGGTTGGCGCTGGCCTCGAGAGCCTACGTGTCTATCAGCTCAGCTTGGCGCTATCGGCTTTTGCATTCCGACGCGGACGATGGCACAGACTTCGAACTAGCAGCAGAATTGACACAGAAACATAAAACATTGTTGCTGGTCCACTAGAAAAAGGGCCCAATAAAAAAATACGACGTGGAGGAGACTGCTCGGCACAGTGCTTCCGTCCGAGCGTTCGGACCAAAAGATTGGCGCCTCGCTCCACATCAACGTGACACCACACCAAACACCACCACAACTTCACAAAGGCACTCCATTTCCAAACCCGATAACCGTGTGTTTGGTTGGGAGGACGATGTGGGACGGGATGGGATGGATCCGAGATCAGCGCTGTTTGGTTGGGAGGCGGAGTGGAGCGAGGACGTCCCCGACACGAATATTATTCAGCGAGATCTTGGGCGACCACCTGTCCCCCAAAATTTCACACGGACGGGTCCGCCCTACAGGACGAGCGGCGGCGGCAGCTGGGAGCTTCGGCCGCAGCGGCGTGGGGAGCCATGCTTGGGATCTGAGGAGAAGAGGAGTGGGGGGGGCTTCGGCCGTGAGCCTTGTGCCTGGGAGATCCAGTGACGACGTCAGCATGTGAGCAAGCAGCACTGAGATCCGCCCAGCCGCCGCCCACAGGTGACCTTCTTTCTTGGCGTCTTGGTGAAGCGAGGGCGCAGCAGCAAGTGCCCCGCCGCCCGCTGCCGTCTTGGAGTGAGGCTGGCTCCAGCCCGCAAGCTTGGCATGAGCTGGTTCTGAAGCTGGGAGGACGAGGAAGGCGATGCTGCAATCGCGTGTGTAGGAAAAAGGAAGGGAAAGGAGGAAGGAAAAAATAAATAAGGAAGAAGAAAACAGAAAAAAAAGAAAATGGAAAAGAAAAAAAATATGATGGATGTGGGCCCTATATGTCAATAGCTCATCCTACTTTTGAAGTCTCTGAAACAAACAAAAAAACGGGTTGGTCCCATCCTTTCTCAACCAAACATAAAATGAACTCGTCCCATCCTACGAACCAAAGACAGGACCATCCCACCCCACCTTATCTCCCAAGCAAACGCTACCTAACATGCTTAGCAACGCTCGAAAGTCGAATACCCGATCAAATCTCATGAATTATGTAACTAACTAATGTATGATGGGAGTTGAACATGCAGATTCCAGTGTCATGCTAAGTTGCTAACATGCCATAAACAACACAACCACGGCCGAAAGAAACAGATCGGTTAGGAATTCAGTCACCAGAGGAACCCTCGCACGGGCCAGATCTGCCGGCACACACGATCGAACGGTGGCCCGCGCGCATACCACCAGGTCAGCATGGCCCACATCTTTGTCCAGCAGTGAGCACGACCATCAGTCCATCACTCCCGTCGCCCGTCGGCACCAGTGTCAAACCACCGGCGCACGGAGCTGTGCACGAGGTCTCCTCACCCGACGCCCGCCGCGTCCGGACCCAGCTCGGCAACTCGCCTTTCCTCCTCCCGCTGCCGGCTGCCGCCCGCGCGCTTGGCCCCGTTCTCACGGTCACGGGGACGGGGGTGTCGATCAGAAGGGCGTCCTGCTCACGGCGTCCCCCGACGCGTGTCTCGTAAGGCACGCTTCCCGCGGTACAAGTGCGACCCACGGCGCTGGCGGAGAGGAACCTAGGCCTAGCAGCGGAAGCGCAACGAGCTCTGGGATGGCCTCCGGTGGAGCCTTCCGGAACCTTCTCCTGGTGCTCCCCCTCTGCCTCGCGCGCGCCTCGTTGGTACGTTTGCTCAATTGCTCGTCGCGCTTTTCGGTGCCGTCCTGGGGTGCCATGGTCCGGCGATTCCATGTCGAGCCCCTGCTGAATTGGTGGCACTGCTTCGTTGTGTCGGTGGCTGTGGCCCGCGGTGCCCCTGGATGGTTGGGTATTAGGTTGGTGGCGAGGCGTCAAGGAGGTTCCAGATCGTCGGCGGCGACGTCCACTATTTCCGCATTGTTCCTGAGGTGAGATTTTCATTTTGTGCTTCTCTCTAGAGGAGTCATATGTAGTTGAGTGACTTGAGTCTCAGTGAGGTTGCCATTTGATAGACTGGTGTTGAACCAATTTATTTCTGCTTGGACCGGAGTGAATCCATCTAGGCCAGAAACAATGTTAGTACAAAGAAGAGTTTCAGCAACTAATGCCCTGTTCGCTTGGCTGGAGTTTGAATTCCAATTGTTCTACATACACTTTGTTTTTTGTTCCCAGTAATATTTTTGAAAACACCAACTTCCAAAATGCTGATAATACTAACTATCAAAATACTGTGCATCACTGCCTTGTATAATTAGACATGAGTGTAATTTCTTCAGAGGGCTTTTAGTATTCTATGATATGCCTAGCTATTTTTTTTACAGACATCAACTTGCAAAGTTTAAAGAATCCTCTAGAAATGAAATTATTTCGTTGATATGTGTTAGTCGCTGAATTCTCACTCTTGGTAGTAGGAGAATTCTTACTCTCATCGAGAGGATGACACTAGGAGTTGGGGCAATTTTCTTGTCTATTTCTTACTCAAATGCCATGCCAACCTGAGGGGTTGGGGTTACATATTTATAGGCTGCTAGCCAGCCAAGCATATGCCAAGATGCTAGTCTAAGATGCTAGTCTAAGATGCTAATATGCTGTCCTAGCTAAGATGTTGTCCTCTAGTCTAAGATCTTTGTCCTCTAAGATGTTTGTCCTGCTGTCCTCTATTCTAAGATGCTGTCCTAAAAGCGAGAAAATAGCCGACCACAAGGACCATGTGAGCAAAGATCTGACCCCACAAAGACCACACATGAGACTTATCCATCATTCTCCCCTAAGTCTTGTGCGTCGTCTTGTGGGAGAGTTGAACCATCCGGTCTGGGAGCAGAGCTCAAGGAACTTGATCCTCCCAAGGGGCTTGGTGAGCAGGTCCGCAAGTGGTCCTTGGTGTTGATGTAGCTCGCCTTGATGCTCCCTTCCTCCAAACAGCCTCGGATGAAGTGGTACCTCACCCGGATGTGCTTGCTGCGTTAAGTGGAACACGGGGTTCTTTTTGGGCAGAGCGGGACTTCTTTGTCCACCACGAGCTCCACCGCTCTAGTGTCTCTGCCGAGGAGATCACCAAGCGATCAGCGAGCAGAGTGCTCGAGTCGAAGCGGTGGAGGCCGCTATGTACTCGGCCTCGCGGTGGGACAGAAGCCACCACTGGCTGCTTGACCGATTGCCGCCTAACGAGGCACTTGCCGAGGAAGAAGAGGATCCCGCTTCGTGCTCTTCTTTGGTGTCGATGTCGCCCGGCATGGTTCTTTGTCATTGCATTGCGACGAAGTGTGCCGCCTGTGGCACCTCGGGTAGTAGAGGCCATGGTCGAGAGTCCCATAACATAGCGGATGATCCTCTTCACTTCTTTGGTGCTCCGTCGTCGGTCATTGCATGAACCGACTAACGAGCTGACAGAGAATGCCAAGTCCGGTCGTGTATGGGCGAGGTAGCGAAGGCTCCCCACAAGACGCCGCGATGCTGCGTGGCGTCCACCTCCTCCGTCGTCGTCTTTGTCGCGGCTCGACCACCTCTCCTCCATCGGAGTGAGAGCTGGGTTGCGATCGGTGAGCCCAGCTAGCTCAACGACGGCGCTTGGCGTGGCGATGCGTCAAGTGTGATCCCGAGTCATTCGGTGCACCTCGATGCCTGTAGTAGGAGAGAGACCCAGGTCACTCATCCGGAAGGTGGCCTTCATCTCTTCCTTGAATGCCGCCACCTCCGCATCCTTGGTGCCGGTGATCACCAAGTCGTCGACGAGACACCCACCAGTGAGCGGTTCCTCCACGCCCCGTCGGTAGATGGTCGCCTCGTGCGGGCTTTGCTCAAAGCCATCCCTTTAGCGTGGAATCCAACTTGGCATTCCACGCCCTCGGTCTCGCCGCAGTAAGCCATAGAGGGCCTTGCGCGCAGCGGAGCACCTGCCTCCTTCTTGGGGATCGCAAATCCCGGCGGTGGTGCGTGAGACCTCCTCCTTCAAGTCGCCGTTAAGAACGCCGACTTGACGTCCATGTGATGAACACGCGCCACCCTCCGGGCGCTAAGCGCAGGAGGAGTCGCGACGGACTCCATCCGTGCCACGGAGCAAAAGCGTCGTCGAAGTCGACCCCTCCCGCCGCCGCACGAAACCTCGTGCCACCAAGCGAGCCTTGTGCTTGAGCGATGGCACCGGCTTCATCCCTCTTGACTTGAACACCCACTTAAGGGTGATCGCGCGGTGACCACGAGGAAGGTCGCCAAGCTCCAGCGCGGTTCTTCTCGACCGCATCCATCTCCAATCGCATCGCGGTAGCGCCATGCGCGTGTCTCTCTCTCTCTCCTCGATACGCACCGAGGCTCGCCGTAAATCACACGCAAGGTGCAAGCTGCGCCTCCGTGTCGTGAGGCACCGGTCCCGCACCGGTGGTCGCCGAGAAGGTTCTCCATCGTGACGGTACCATAGCGGCTCGCCGTCGTGGTATGCTGCGTCGACACGCCTCCTCGTCGTGAGAGAGCGAATAGCGAGCTCAATCGGGTCGTGCTCGACACGGTGGTGGTGGAGTAGAGCGTGCTCGGAGTGGTGCTGTCGGTCTTTGGAGCTTGTGGCGTTGCCGGCCGTAGTGGAGCCGGCGAAGAACTCATCGCACCGAGGTCCCTGGCCGGAGAGTGTGGTCTTTGCCGGAGTAGCAGCGCCGGGTCGGTGGAGGCTCGGGACCGGGTAGACCAGCGCTTGTCGAAGAAGAGCCGCTTACTCCCCGGCTCTCCTCGAAGTGGACGTACTTTCGACATTGAAGTCGCCGACGCCGGAGCCGAGCCGTCGCCCACCGCTTGTCTGACGCCCATCTCGCTTTTTCGTCGAACACAACGTCAGCGGCGCTGCAGGCGCATACGCCGTGTTCGGTCGAGGATACGGTGAGGCCTTCGAGCCCTCCGTAGCCGATGAACACTCCCGAGTGCTCCCGTCGTCGAGCTTGGCGATGTGGCCAAGCTCCTTGGCGAACGCGAGGCGTACCGAAGACCCGCAAGTGGGGAGACCGCCGGCTTGCGCCCATGCCAAGCCTCGTCACGGTGTCTCGCCGCCGAAGCGCCTTTGGTAGGCGGCGGTTGAGGATGTAGACGGCCGTCACCACCGCTTTCTCCCGGAAGACACCGACATCCCTCTCGCTTGAGGAGGGCCCGAGCCATCCCCACAACCGTCTGGTTGCGCGCTCGACGACGCCATTCTCTGCCGAAATTTTGTCAGGTAGCGCGGAGTAGTGGCGCTGAATGCCCTCGTCGCAAGAAGACGACGCGACGCGAATTCACCGCCGTGAATTCGCCCGCCGTTGTCGGCAATAACACGCGCGACTTGCGGCCGCAGACTCGCCTCTCGCGGCGACTGCTTGCGGCGCTGATAAGCGTCCGCGACCTCTCCCTTGTCTGCCGAGGACCATCACCCACATAGCGGGAGAGGTCGTCGACGAGCAGCAGGAAGTAGCGTCGTCTCCCGGTGTGGCGGTGTCACCGGGCCACACAAGTCCCCGTGCACAAGCTCGAGCCTCTCCTTGGCTCGAAAGCTCGCCCGCTGGGGAAAGGGGAGTCGTCTCTGCTTCGTCAACACGCAGACGTCGCAGAGCTGCTCCACATGGTCAAGGCACGGCAGGCCTCGCACCATCTCCGTGGCACTGAGCCGCTTCAGGGCCTCGAAGTGAAGGTGGCCGAAGCGCTCGTGCCATTGCCACGCCTCGTCATCCCGACGAGCAGCGAGACAGAGGGGTTGTGCCACCTGCACGTTAAGGATGTAGAGTCGATTTGCGCTTCTGGATACCTTGGCAAGAAGGCGGCGACGGCGATCCCAAATCCTCATGACTCCATCCTCAACCACCACGCGCGAACCATTCTCATCCAGCTGTCCCAAGCTGATGATGGAGTTCCTCAACGCGGGGATGTAGTAGACTTCGGTGAGCGCCCTGTGCTCACCAGACACGGCGGTGAAGATGACGGAGCCGACGCCCTTGATCTCCACGCCGGAGGCATCCCCAAACTTGACGGAGCCTCGGACGCTAGAGTCAAGCTCGGTGAAGAACTCCCGTCGACCGGTCATGTGATGGGTGGCGCGGTGTCGAGGCACCACCGTCGATCTTGTCGTTGCTTGGGAGCCGTCGCCGAGGAGGGCGTGTGCTTTTGGCTCGTCAAGGTGGAGGAGAACCGCCGCGGCCGTGGTGCTACCGGAGGTAGCTTCGATCGTCGGCATGTGCCATGAACAGAGCCAGTTCCTCCTCCTCCACCAGGCGACGTGGGCACTGGCCGCGTCGTGGTTGTCCGACGATCCTTGGCCCAATGGTTAAGCCGCCGCAGATTGCGGCGAGTGTCATCTCGTGCGGCTTGTGCTCGCCGACGGCGGCGCCGGGCGCCTCGCGGGCATCACCCTCTAAGACGTCCTCGCGCCCGACTGGCGTCTCTCGCAGCGCTTTGCGCGGCTTGCCACGCTATGCCGCTTGTCGCGGAAGAAGGCTCCCCTTCCTCCGGTCACCTTGGGCGGCAAGCCACCGCTCCCAGTGAGAAGGAGCTTCCGCTTGATGGTGATGGGCCCCGAGAGGATCAGTGGCTCATCGCCGCCGACGACTTTGAGGCGACCTATCGCCTCCTCGATCGACATCGTGGAGATCCAGCAGAGACTCGATCGAGCGAGTCATCCGCTTGTACTTCTCGGGACGCAGCTTGTGGAAGAGCTTTTCGACGCTCTCTCCTCGCCGTAGGTGTCGCCGCCGACGCGCACCATCTTACGTAATAGAGTGTTGAGACGGAGAGCAAAGTCATCAACGTCCCTCACGGCTTGAAGGCCGTGTTCTCCCACTCCTTGCGCGGTGCTCTGTAGTGTGGACTTGCGGGCGCGGTCGCCTGCCGATGCGTCTTGCATGACGATGGCGTCCCAAGCCTCCTTGGCGGTCCGCTTGTCGGTAAGCGAGAAGCGCATCTCGGGCGGATCGCGGCGATGAGAGCATCCGGCGCCCGTCGATCTAGGTCGTAGTCGACGTCGCCCGCATCGGACCGCCTCCCACATGTGCCGCTGACCAAGCTTTACCCTCATCACCGCAGCCCACTCGACGTAGTTGGTCTTGGTGAGGGTAGGCCACCCACCGCCGGGACCGACGTCCCTGACAACAGCCTGGAGCCCGTGGTAACCACGGTACCGATCCGGGGAGAGAGCCACGCTGCCTGTGAAGGCCGCGCTCTCCATCGACCCGTCGGTACCGATCCGGGGAGAGAGCCACGCTGCCTGTGAAGGCCGCGCTCTCCATCGACCCGTCGGTACCGATCCGGGGAGAGAGAGCCACGCCGCGCGTGAAGGCCGCGCGCTCCATCGACTCCGCCCGCCACCGCTGTTGCGCGCGCGCGCCTCCAGAGCGCCGCCGCCGCCGCGCGCCTCCTCAGAAAGCTCCACCGCGCGTCCGCGCTGTCCGTTGCCGCCGCCGGCGCGTGCGCGCGCGGCTGCCCAGAGCGCCACCGCCGTGCGCGCGCCTCCGAGCGCCGCCGGTGGCGCGTCCACGCTGTGTTCGGGCTGCCGCCACGCTCGTGGGCGTCGCGACGCCTTCATCGCGCCGCCGCTGCTGCTGCCCCGCCTCCTCTCTAGCAGCTCGAGGTCCGTCGGCGGTGTCGTCGCGTGAAATGGAGCTGCCGATCTTTGCCGCTGCAGAACCTCGACCTCGCTGCTGCCGCCGCTGCGCTGCATTTCGCCGCCGCTGCTTCCGCTTCGCCTCGCCGCTCTGGTTGCTGCTAGCCCGCCATTACGCCTCGACGCTTGCCGCCGCTGCTGCGGTCTCTGCTGCCGCCTTCGCTCGCGTTCTCTGCGCGGCAAGTTCGGCCTCCTCGCCGCCCAGCGTGCTCGAGGCGATCGAAGGCCGAGATCGCCTGCGGACATGACGCGCTACCGGGGGGACTGCTGCGTGAGGGAGAAGGCTGCCGAGCCAGCTGCTTGCTCGTCTGCTGGGAGGAGGAGAGAGCAGAGCGGCGGGGAGCTGGCGCCTTCAATGGGCTGTTGTGTGGTGGTTTGGGAGGAGATGAGCGGGAGATGCTCGAGCTACTGAGGATAATACTGGCTCGATACTGGGTTGTTAGTCGCTGAATTCTCACTCTTGGTAGTAGGAGAATTCTTACTCTCATCGAGAGGATGACACTAGGAGTTGGGGCAATTTTCTTGTATATTTCTTACTCAAATGCCATGCCAACCTGAGGGGTTGGGGTTACATATTTATAGGCTGCTAGCCAGCCAAGCATATACCAAGATGCTAGTCTAAGATGCTAGTCTAAGATGCTAATATGCTGTCCTAGCTAAGATGCTGTCCTCTAGTCTAAGATGCTGTCCTCTAAGATGCTGTCCTGCTGTCCTCTAGTCTAAGATGCTGTCCTAAAAGCAGAAAACAGCCAGCCACAAGGACCATGTGAGCAGTACAGCCCCACAAAGACCACACATGAGACTTATCCATCAATATGAAGATTGAAAAGTGCACATAACTATGTAATTAACCTTCTTTATCAGCTTATATGCCAACATGTTCTATATATCTTTATTATGACATCATGACCTTCTGCAATGCATTGGTGCTTGCAGTACTGGAAGGATCGCCTTTTAAGAGCAAAAGCATTAGGCTTGAACACAATTCAAACATATGTACCTTGGAATTTGCATGAGCCAGAACCGCAGAGCTGGGAATTCAAGGGCTTCGCGGATATTGAATCATATCTGAGACTTGCTCAAGAACTAGAAATGCTGGTCATGCTTCGTGTAGGTTCATACATTTGTGGAGGTAAGTTGACATTCGTATTGAAACTTCATACGTTCAGCATGCCAATAGCTGAAGATATAGCTGTATATTTATACTGCATTGAACAAATAGAATTATTATTGCTGCAGAGGATTAATAACGTTATAACGTCAAATGGTCATTACCAAAATCAGAAGAGTCACTTCTTGGTTTTCAATAGTACATAAAAGATAGATCATTGAATCTGTGGACGAAGAAATAAAGCTTTCCTCTGCTTATTTGTAAAAGGCGTGACTCAGTTTTACATTTTGATACCATGTAGCTGTCCCAAACGTGATGAAGTAATGTCATGGTTATCTTTTTCAAATTTGATTGGGTTTTGATGCTGCATGTGCTTGGATTAAAACTTGTGATTTGTAATGTGTGCACTGCAGAATGGGATCTAGGAGGTTTTCCACCTTGGTTGCTCACCATAGAACCAGCCCTTAAACTGCGATCATCAGATTCGTCCTATCTTTCCTTGGTACTCTTATCAAAACATGATAATTCTTTGCATATATAGCTTAGTTGTTTCTGGAGATATTTTGACCAACATTACGATGTTTTAAGGTGGAGAGATGGTGGGGAGTACTACTTTCGAAAGTGGCACCATTATTATACAATAATGGAGGTCCAGTTATTATGGTTCAGGTAAGTTCATCAGAGTTTAAGTTGGTTTACTACTTCCTGTTCATTTTCATTTCTAGTGTATGTAGCTTTTGTATATATGGAAGAGCCTAATTCTATAGCATGTTTGGCAGATTGAAAATGAATTTCGTTCTTTTGGAGACGATAAGAATTATCTTCATTACCTTGTTCAACTGGCCAGAAGATATCTTGGAAACGACATTATTCTGTACACAGTTCTCTCTGCTCACATTTTTAGCTATACAAATCAGTGCAGTTTTCTTTTCAGCATTTGCAGTTATGTCCACTTTATATGGCTTTAGAAGTTATGATATAGCAATTATAAGAGTGATTAGGTACGGGATGATAGAGGTTTGGTACTTGTTGTTTTGTGTCCTTATGAAATTCTACAAATATTTACTGCACAAATCTTATTTATACCATTGTGCCAATGTGTGGGGTCGATAATGGGGATGCAATAAGAATTTGGCTGAAATGCTACTGCCTACATGCTTGTCATTCGATATAGGAAATTGGGAATATTGAACTGTTAGATTTCTCAAATAGTATATAAAAAGTGTTTTGATATAACTTCAAATGTTTGCCACACGCTACATGCATCAACAACAATATAATAGCATTTTCGATTGTAAAAAAATGGACCAATACAATAGCTTCACAATGTGACAAAAAGAAAGAAAGAGGAAAAAAGAGTCCAGACTTTTTGAGAGTTCTGCTAGCTTGAAGTGTTTCCTAGATGATTTCATCCAATTAATGTTTCATATGGGTTGGTTCTAATTACCAAGTCATGATCATGTGTACTCTTAATTCCTCTTTTAGTTATACAACTGATGGGGGTGCCATGGGTAATTTAAAGAATGGATCAATTCCTCAAGATGATGTTTTCGCTGGTAAAAATATGATAACTGAGCTGTGCTATGATGTAGACTATTTGTTGCCTTCGGTAAAGAATTATGTTTTCTTAATATGCTGACATGCCTAACTTTCTAAATTTCCAAACTTATATTTTACCTGATTTTCATCAGTTAATCACTTTAGCTAATAATAATATGGCTGATGTGCAGCTGTTGATTTTGAAACTGGATCCAATCCATGGCCCATATTCAGATTACAGAAGAAATGCAACTTGCCCGGAAAATCAGCCCCTTTAAGTTCGTAAGTTGGCTACAATACACGCGATGTCAAATATTCTCTGTCGTGCATTTTTGGATGTGACTTTACCTAATGTTGTCACCTCTTACTTTTCAGAGAATTTTATACTGGATGGTTAACACACTGGGGTGAAAGAATCGCAACAACAGATGCTGCTAGTACAGCTAAAGCCCTTAAAACCATTTTGTGCCACAATGGTTCTGCTGTACTTTATGTCTGTCACTGGAGCCCATTCATCAATGCATTGCATTTGCAGTCTAGGTCTATTAATTCTATTTCTTCATGAGGTTGTCCAGATGGCTCATGGTGGGACCAATTTTGGATTTTATAATGGTGCAAATACTGGTCAAGATGAATCTGATTACAAGGCAGACCTCATTTCTTATGACTATGCAAGTGTCACTCCAAATAGTTCATTTCATTTATTGATCCCTTTTTGCAAGTCAACTTATTTACGTGACCTCTTTACTGGGCAGGATGCACCGATTAAGGAGCATGGAGATGTGCATAATGCAAAATACAAAGGCATGCTGTTTTTTTTTCAAACATGCAGGAGAGCTGCACATCTTTATATTATGGAGAGAAGAAATAACGATCCACTACAAACAACCTCCCCGTCTCAACTATGAGACAAGGAAGCTTTGTAGTACATCACAAGTCAAAAAAGCCTGAAACAGAAAAAAACATGTGAGAAAAAATGCAAGGTATGTTCACCCCTCCCCTCCCCAGCGCCCTCTCGTCCACCAGCCCCACGCCGGAGCCTGTCCTGGGCCCGGCGGCCACCCTCTCAACTGAGCCTCCACGATCCTCCTCCCAGGCGAGGGATCCCTCCTCTTCCCTGTTTCCCCAGGTAGGTCGCTCCAAGGGAGAGAGGTGGCGTGACGCCAGTCCGTCTTCGTCCGCAGGCGGCTCCTCTCCTGTTCCTTCGTTCAAAGAAGTGCTTCTTTCTGGCGGCGCCTCGTCTTCGGTCTCGCCACAGCCGGCAGTGGTGGAGACTCGCCCGCCTCCGAGAGTCGTTCTCCGCTCGCGGCCCCGTCAGGCGTCCGTCGGAGAGGGCCCTGACGCGGACGGATGGCAGCGGTATGAAGGCCGCCGTGCTCGCAAGCGGCGCCTGCAGGAGCTACGCGATCCTCATCGGCCGGTGCCGGTGGACCTTAGAGGCAGGTGCTACAATTGTTTTTCTCCTTCCCACCGCGCCGCCTTTTGCTGGAAGGGACCTCGCTGCTTCAAGTGTCGGGAGATAGGCCACCGTGCGTCCGACTGCGTTGGCCGCCGCCGGGCCCTGCACGCGGCTGCTCCTCGAGCCCTGCTTGTGTGGCGCCCAAAGGCCACGCTGGGAGGGTCGAGCTCTGAGAAGATGGTGGTCTCGGCAGCCGCGCCCGGAGAGGAGACCTCTGGGGCGGCGGTTGAGCAAGGCTCGCGGGCAAGGCGACGTCGCCGTGTCAGGAAGAGGCGGCGTTCGGATGCTGCTGGCCCAGGCGGGCCACCTGGCCAAGAAGATGAGGGGAACGACGAGCCTGCTGCCAGCATTCGTGCTCCGGCCGGCTCCGACTATGTTCCTCCCCGGCCCCGTCGTATCATCGATCGTTCAGCTAAGATGGCCAGGGCTGAAGATGAACTTTGCAAGGCGCTCTCGGTTTCGATTGTTGGAGACAGCTCGACCCTTTCGGTTGATGTTCTGGTTGATGAGTTAGCTCGCCGCCATGAACTCCCGATTGAGTCGCTGGAGTTTCACAGTCTGAGCCGTCAAGACTGCCTGCTGATCCTCCCCGACGAAGCTGCGGCCGTTCGGGTCTACAATGAGGGACGACCTCTACATTTGCCTCCGTTCACCCTCTACTTCCGCCGTTGGTCTCGGTTCAAGAGTGCTACTGCGGTGGTTTTGCCCTCACTCGTCGACATTGAGTTGAGCGGCATACCGGCGCACGCTTGGGAGTTGGAGACAGCAGAACACTTGCTGGACGAGTGGTGCTGGGTGCGCGAGCTCCATCCTGCTACGATCGATCGCAGGGATTATTCGTCCTTCCGTCTCAAGGCTTGGTGTTCCCAGCTGGAGAGTATCCCTGCGGTCATGGACTTGGACATTGTTGAGCCTCCGGTGCAAGTTGAGGAATCCCCCCCTGTGAAGCGTGCTTTGAGGTATGAAATCAAGATTGATGCTTCTGTGTCGCCTACGGTTGGTGCGGATGTTGATCGTCCTCCCTCGCCCCCGCCGCATCTGGACTCCGATCAGGGGAGGCGTCGACGCCGGCAGCCAGCGGCTGACGTGCCGGCTTCCGCCGCCCTTGGTTCTGGCGCCCGAGGTGATGCTCCACGAGGTTCTGTGCATCAGCGACTGGGCGCTGGTCCGGTAGCAGTCGATCACGGGACGGTTCGCGAGGAACTCATTGATGGGCTGCTCTCCTCAGAACCCGAGGCGCCGCAACCGTCATCAAGTCGTTCGCCTGCCTCGTCCACGCCTGGGGATATTGAAGACATGGCGGCTCAGGTTATTAATCCTGGACCAACATTTGAAGATCTGTTCCCACGGGAGCCGGATTTTCCGTTCTGGCTGTCGGAGGTGGGTCTTGTTTCGCCGGTTCGGCTGGACTGCTCCCACAGTGATGTCTTCGTGAGCAAGGAGGGTGACTTTACGGCCCAATTGCCTGGGAAACGGCCTGTTAGCCCTTCACAAGCAGGCCCACTTGCTGTATCGATGGTGGGCCAATCGACTGGAGACAACTGCGGTGCGAGCTTCTCTGTTCCCCCACCTCTAGGTCCGGCTATGGTGACGATGAGCCCCACACAGGAGTTGGCCATCACCGGTCCTGTGAATGCCGCAATTCAGCACATCGGGATGGACAGAGGGGTGGCTACCCCGGTGAAGACTTACTTCAGAAGGCGCCGTCGTTTGGTTGATAGTGATGCCATGGTCGCGGCTCCACTTCCAGATCTCTTGGCAAGCGTAGAAGCCTTGGCCGGGCCTGCGGGCGTCGCAGTTCAGGTCGGGACTCCACACCAGACCCCCTCTCCTGGTCTTGGTTGTGTTGCAGTCTTGGCTGAAACTCCGCCTGTGGCCGCACGCCTGTCTCCCGTCGGTGAGGATATCCATTTGTCTCCGGCGGCTGATGCATTTGGACCTGGGTGTCAAGTGGCCGGAGACTCAGTAGCAGTGCCAACTCTCCCCGGCACACCCAACTCGAACCAACTCACGAGCCAGCGAAGACGCTTCCTGGCGAAGATGACAAAGAAGACGACGAAAATCCTCCCTACTCCAAGAGCCAACAGGCTGCGTTCCCGTGCTTGTGTTCAGCGTGCTCCTCCGAGGCGCAGCCGTCGCATTGCCGGAATGCAGCCAGACTCTAATGGAGGTGGGGCCCCATCAAGAACAAAGAAGACAGTGATGCGGGCTCTGGGCCTTATTGGGGAATCGGCCGGCATTGATCAACAAAGCCTGGAAGAATATTGCATGCTTTTCACCGGTTCGGCATCGCTCCCTGATATCCATGTTCAGGCTCTGGCAGCGCTCTTCAGTTGGGTTGCTCCTGTTGATGAGGAACAGGACTTCGCGGCTGAATGCTGATGTTCCTTCGCCCAAGGTCGTTTCTTTATTATGATAAATGAATCCATCCAAGATACTTTGTTGGAATGTGCGTGGATTAAATTCTAAAGCACGCCAGGATACTGTAAGAACCCTGATTGCTTCTTGTCAGGTCGAGATTATATGCTTACAGGAAACGAAAATGTCTGAAATTTCTCGTGGTTGTATTCTTTCTTTGTTCGGTTCTGATTTTCCCTACTGGGTGGAGCTGCCTTCCATTGGTGCAAGTGGGGGAATTCTGGTTGCATGGAGTCACGGGCTAGGCCCTGCCAGTGCCACCCGAGTTGATAGTTTTAGCATCTCACTTCAGTTCTCTCCGGCCAGCTCACAAACCTGGTGGCTTACTTGTGTGTATGGCCCTCAAGGTGATGACAACAAACTTCTGTTTATGCAAGAACTTCGAGATGTGAGAGCTGCCTGTATCGGGCCGTGGTTAGTACTTGGTGATTTCAATTTAATAGCAAGAACTGAAGATAAGAACAACAGTCTTGTTAACAGAGCAATGATGGGAAGATTTCGTCGCCTGATCAACGACTTAGAATTAAAAGAGTTGCCTATGCTTGGTCATAAATTTACATGGTCAAACCACCAGGACGTGCCTACACTCGTCAGACTTGATAGACTTCTTTGCTCAACAAAATGGGAACTGTTGTTTCCAAACTGTCTCTTGCAAAGTTGTGCAACTGACGGCTCAGATCACTGCCCCCTTCTTCTTGGGCTGAATGATGTTCAGCCAGGGAAGGCTAGATTCCATTTTGAGGCTTTTTGGACCAAGTTGGAGGGATTTCAGGAGGGTGTGGCAACTGCTTGGGCTTCTGAACCAGTCTCTCATTGTCCTTTTGACACCCTGGCAAGAAAATTCAGAGCAACAGTGAGAAGTTTGCAAAGTTGGAGTCAAAAAAAAGTTGGGCATGTTAACTCACAGTTAGCTCTTGCTAGGGAGGTTCTCCATCAGCTAGAAATAGCGCAAGATAATCGAGCCCTCTCCAGGCTAGAGCTTTGGTTAAAAAACAAACTCAAGCCTCACTGTTTAGCTCTCTCCTCCCTGCAGCGCACCATTGCAAGAAGTAGATCTCGCATCAGTTGGCTCAGTGAGGGCGATGCCAATACAGCTTTGTTTCATGCACATGCTCGCCACCGTAAGAGGAAAAACTTTATTAGTAAACTTATAAGTGATGATGGGGTAGTTCTCACCAAGCACGAAGACAAAGAGCATAATATTTTTGCTTTCTACAGCAACCTTTTGGGAAGGAGCATTGACAGGGAAGTGACAGTTAACTTGACAGAACTAGACATGCCAAACCTTGATCTTAGTGAATTGGAAGCTCCTTTTTCTGTTGAGGAGGTCTGGAAAACAATCAATTCCCTACCGTCAGACAAGGCCCCTGGCCCTGACGGCTTCACAGGAAAGTTCTATAAGGTTTGCTGGCCGATCATCAAATTGGATATAATGGCTGCTATTTCAGCTGTTTGGAGCAGAAAGTTTGCTAATTTTGAGTTACTCAATTCAGCCTTCATCACCCTGCTGCCAAAGAAAGAGGACGCTATAAGCATCAAGGAGTACAGACCTATCAGCTTGGTGCACTCTTTTGCCAAGCTCATAACAAAAATCCTAGCTAACAGGCTTGCTGCTTCTCTGAATCAGTTGGTCTCCACTAATCAAAGTGCATTCATCAAGGGTCGTTTCATTCTAGACAACTTCATGTTGGTTCACCATACTACAAAATTCTTGCACCAACAGAAACAAGCTCAGTATCCTCTTAAAATTGGATATCAATAAGGCGTTTGATTCGTGTCATGGCCTTTTCTATTAGAAGTTATGAGACGCGTTTGGGTTTTGGATCAGTTTGGTGTGATATTATCAGTGGCTTGCTTGCCACTTCATCCACTCAAGTGCTATTGAATGGTTCTCTAGGGGAAAGGATACAACACCAGCGTGGTCTAAGGCAAGGGATCCATTGTCACCGATGCTTTTCATTTTGGTCATTGGATGTGCTATACTACTTGGTGAAGAAAGCTGCAGATGAGAATTTGTTGCAGCCACTTGCGGAAGGGCATTGGAGCATAGGATTTCCTTGTATGCAGATGATGTGGTGTTCTTCTTGAGTCCAACAACCAGTGACATTGAAATAACCTTGGATATCTTGCAACTTTTTGGAAACGCATCCGCCTTACAACAAACCTTCAGAAAAGTAGTGTTCTCCTATAAGGTGTAATGTGGATGACAGAGCAGTCCTGCAGGAAACCCTACCTTGTCAGCTTTCCGACTTCCCTTGTAAATACCTAGGGGTCCCCCTTTCTCCTCATAAGCTATCCAAAGAACAGGTTCAGCCCATCATCGAGAAAATTGCAGATCGACTACCAAGCTGGAAAGCTGATTTGCTTACGAAAGCTGGAAGAGTGGTCTTGGTTCAGTTTGTTCTCACCTCAATGTTGATCTACATCATCATGGCACTTGATCTACCCTCATGGGCTTTGAAGGCAATTGATAAGATAAGAAGGGGTTTCCTATGGAAAGGAAGAAGAGATGTCAGGGGGGCACTGTTTGCTAGCCTGGCCAAAGGTCACTAGATCTCTTAATCTGGGAGGTCTTGGTATTTCTAATCTTCAAAACTTGGGATGGGCTTTAAAACTCCGATGGTTATGGCTGCAGAAAACAGAACCTGACAAAGCCTGGGCTTTTTTCCCCATCCAAGCTCATTCTCAAGTCCAAGCATTCTTTGCTATGGCTGTTGACACAGTAGTAGGCAATGGAAAAAATACTCGTTTTTGGACAGATAGATGGTTGCTTGGTCAGAGCTTAGAACAGGCCATGCCACATTTGTTTAGCGCTATAGCAACCAGAGCAAGGAAAAGATCAGTTTACGATGCTATCACAGGGGGAAAATGGGTTTCTGATATAAGAGGTGCTTTAAGTGTGCCTGTTCTGATTGAATACCTTCACCTTTGGGGTCTTTTGTCAAATGTGGTACTGCATCCTGAGGTGGAAGATACACATATCTGGAAACTTTCAGCTTCCGGTATGTATTCTAATAAATCAGCTTATGAGGCCTTGTTCATTGGAGCTACTCATTTCAGTCCTTGGGAGTTGATCTGGAAGAGCTGGGCCCCAGGGAAGTGCAAGTTCTTCATGTGGACAGTAGCTCACAATAGATGTTGGACATCTGACAGACTAGCACGTCGAGGTCTTGATCACCCAACGCAGTGTCCACTCTGTGATCAGGCTGGTGAAACAATAGACCATCTTCTGATCTCTTGTGTCTTCGCCCGGCAAACATGGTACAACATTCTGCAATCTTTTGGACTGCAAGATGTGGCTCCACAAATGGTTGATTTGATTTTTGTGGACTGGTGGGAGGGTGCTTGCAGCAGGCTTTCTGGTCAAGTGAAGAAGGGGTTCAATTCCATTATTATTTTGGGAGCTTGGTTAATTTGGAAGCATCGAAACCATTGTGTTTTTGATGGTGGAACTCCTAGCCTAGCTAGGGTCCTCTCAGCTTTTAAGGAAGAAGCTCAGCAGTGGGCAGCAGCAGGGGCTCGAGGAGTTTCTTATCTCCTTGCCCTGGCTCCTACCTCCTAGCTCTTTGGGTCCGGTGGTTTTTTGGTCCTGCCTTATAGTTCTCTAGAGACATAACGTAGTTTGGGTTCTTAGGGTGGGTTGCAGACCCTTTTCTCTGTAACAGTTTTTTGTTTCTGTGTTTTTGTAACAGTTTGTTTTGGGGCTCTTTTCCCCCTCCTTTTTCTTCTTAATATATTGATGCGCAGTTCTCCTGCGCGTTCGAGAAAAAAAAAAAAAAGAAAAAGAAAAGAAAAAACTCCCTGACCCTGACCTTTTTTTTTGTACACGCAGGAGAGCTGCGTATCTTTATATTAATTAAGAAGAAAAAAGGGGGCAAGAACCCTTACAACACACCCAAGCACACTTGGTTTCTATGCAAACATACACGCCTTTTTTATACAACAAACACGACCTCGACCTCAACTAAAGAAAACCAGTTCTCTGATGCATCCAATTTAGATATTCACTTACTTGGGATGATTTTTTTGGCTCACTTTGTCTCAGCCAGCGAAATGCAGCATGAGATAAAAATGGAATACTCAATGTTTTTTGAGTGGCAGATCCTAACCTGTGCATAGTGTGTGTCAATGTAGCCTAGTGGATGTAGGAACTACTTCATTTGAATCTCTGGCAAATTCCCAAAAAGAACTTTATATGCATATAACTTCTTTTTAAGCACTGTTTTATTTCTATATTTTGATTTGTCATTACAATTATCAAGCAGCACTGAGAAGAGTAATACATGAATGTACTGGGACTCCTCTTCATCCACTTCCTTCTGACATTGAAAAAGCAAGTTACGGGCTTGTGAAATTACAAAAGGTTGCTTCTCTGTTTGACATCATTGATAATATCAGTGATCCTCTGAAAGTTTCTGTTTCGGAGCATCCACTTTATATGGAGCAGATAGGCCAGGTATCAGCAAATGTAATTATATGTGTATTTCTGTTATTGTTACTGAACTTATCATTTAAGTTAATATTTCATGTATCTGTCATGGGATTTATTTTGTCAGATGTTTGGATTTCTCTTGTACATGTCAGAATACGAAGGGAAACTCCCATCAAGCATCCTGTCAATTCCAAAGGTTGTGTCTTTCATATTTATTTTGTTGGCATGAAAGAAAGATCATCTCTTCTAAGATGTGAATTCTGTGTTGCTGCAGGTACATGACAGAGCTCAGGTGTTTGTGTCTTGCTCAGTTGATGGTGTCAGAAACCTAAGATATGGTGGTGTAATTGAAAGATGGTCTAATAAAACACTAGAGATACCGAACTTAAGATGTTCATCTACTACCAGCCTATATATCCTGGTAATCTTTCTTGCATTTTCTTCAGAACTTTCTTTCTAGCGTCGTAATACTATTGTTAATTGACTTGAGTTTTAGTGTTACGCCTTAAAATGATATTTTTTTTCATTCCTT